ATATTAACCTCAATAAAACCACGATACACAAAAACCGGTATGATGATGCGCATGTTTTAGTTATCTCTCTCTCGCACCGTGTTACGTCATGTGCGAACCAAAAGCTGGCAGGTAACTGGGTTGGAATGTTATTTGCATTGCAAATTTACGTTATATTCGAAAATTTATAAATATATGGACGGCCTGGGTGCAATTATTAAGTGTAACAAATGTCAAGAGAAAGTTAAATTGGCAGCAAGCGCTTTTAATACTAATGTAACATATTTTAAGCAACGGCTAATTTCCTACCTTCCTATCAATATATTTTTAAATATTTATAATTTAATTGAATTAACTTAACTTACGCTAGACTGAATTTTACATTTTTTTGAATGTGAAAGGTAACAAAATTATAAAAATGCATTTAAACAGGTAATAATAATGCACGCCCGCTTTAAAGTGTGAAACATAAAATAAAAATCTCAAAACTGTTTTTTTTACTTTTGACACTTTTGAAGCCGGTTTCCTATACAATTGTGTTTTAATTTTTATTATTAGTAAGACCCAAGCAACAATTTTGGTCGAAATAACCTATTTTCGACCCCCTGTAAGGCAATCGACCATTTAATACCATCCCTGTTAAAGGCAAATTTACGTTACAGTTACGTAATATTTTCGTAAGTGGGGAATAAAAAGTTAGTAAATTTAAGGTATTTTGGAAGTAGAAGAAGGCATTGTGACCAAGACTGTTATTGCAAAGCTGCCCAATTTTAAGTTGCTGTGACGTAAAATAGTGGTAATCTATAACCAATTATCAACCTGTAAGTCCTTTTAGTTCGATCCCACTCTCCGCTATTTTATCTCTGTCAAAATAATGCTAAAAATATAGGTACAAGTTAACAAACACTATTAGGACCATAAATATATCTTTAAAGTCCATTTTTAAAATGAGTATTTTGAGTTACCTAAGGGCTAAATTACTAGGCGAGTTGAATTTTGTTGTCAAATATCCTTACTGTAGCGCTAAATAACAGAAGCGCCCTTGAAAATACTTAAGAAAAACATTTTTTTTAAATTTTTGTCAATTTGGAATTTTCCTTATTTTATTTTATGGAGCGCTGAAAAGGTGGTTTTTCAGTTCGTTAGTTTTTTTAAGTTGTATAGAGCCCAATTTTAGAAAAAAAATCTCAAACAGTGGTTAGATAAAATTATTTTTTCCTTTAATACTTTGGTGTAAACTGTTTTGGTTATCAGAAAAGATGGCGATTTCGACGTATTGAACTTAAAAACATAATTTCCCTATAATTTGGACCTGTAAAATAAATTTCCCTAATGTTCAGTTAAAATAACCTAAATTACTGCCTATGTAGTCGATATGTCTTAACAAGGGAATAAATATTGTGAGGTCTATTAGCAATTGCACAATAATGCCCTATTTTTAACCATAAAGTAAATTTGTGCCCAGATTTCGACTTTGTAGGCCATTATCATAATTGCGCATGCATATAATAAAACAGCTGTAGCACGCCTAGTTGCTCGTGTGTATAGTTAACAATGGGAGACTATTTTAAAATAGTTGCTATAATAAATAAAAGAATGAACAAGTGTACTGTGGAATACAGTTTTATTCCACATAAGTGGGAAGAAGATGGTGTGTTAAAATTAGTTAATTCTTCTATTAGAGAAAGCTTTTTGCCTAATAGTTCTTCTTCCCTTTTGCTAAAATTATCTTCGCAAGGGATTAAATCAATTTGCCCTTCGTTAAAAGTGTTTTCCGATGTGTTTTCACAAAAAATATTTTCCGTACAAACTGATTTCTTGATAGTAAGTGCTCTCTAAAAATGAAACAGTGGATTTTCACTGATTGACAGTGCATATTAACTATTTGCCGCAGTGATAAGTATACCACTAGCAATTAGTGAATACTCACTTTTTCATGTAGCGATTTCTTCACTGTACAAATTAGTGAAATAGGTTTAGTTTAAAAAAGTTAAAATTTTACTTTTTTATGTCGAGAGTTCCGGAAAGTAGTGATAATAAAAAACACTAATTTGAAGAAGTTAAAATTTCACTAATTTATATTGAAAAACACTAATTTTACAGTGAATAATAATTCACTGACGGAAATAGTGAAAATTTCACTGTTTCACTTTTAGAGAGTGGACCGGTTGAAACACTGGATAAGTTTACCGCATTATTAACATTTCCTTTTCGTAATATTAAACATTTTTTCAACTTGCGATAATAGCTAGTGGTCAGCCTGTACGGCTTAAAACACTTTCGCGACATCTTGCTAGTTCCAGCGCTCATGTGCACAACAATAAAAACAGAACTAACTTTAAATTCTAAATAAGTCCAAAGGACCTGTTAGTCTAAATGAGGTGGTAAATTCGACCTCTATATAACCGCATCGACTTACAAGACCAATATTGTAGTAAGTTAGACCTTAAGGTACATCACTTAAATATAAATAGGTAAAACTTGGCCCGACTCCTGACCAAAACATGCCTTAACCAAAACTTCAGGCCTATAGGGTTAGAATTACTAAATTTGTCCTTACGAATTTTGTACGAATAGTTGGTTGAAAATTGGTAAATTAATAGAACAGTCTGACTAACGGTTATCCCCTGTGATTTACCATTAAGGATATAAATACATATAGGTAGATGAAGAGGGGTACATTAGGTAACTGGGACCAATTATTTTTACTATAAAGGCAGGGAAAATGTTAGTAACTAGTAATGGGCAACGTATCCATAATTGGACCAGGAAACAAAAATTTGAAGTCCGAGGGCTTTGAGGGATTATGTGCAAGCCAAAAAGAACCAGTTCTTTACCTATTTTTCGCCCACAAATAAATGTCGACCTCAAACACAAAAGTTTGGTTAAATTTTTGTAAATTTCAACCCTTTTAGGGCAATTTGGTGCTAGTATAGACACTATTCGACTTATTTTGTTGCTTGGGTCACTTAAATATAAATAGGTAAAACTTGGCCCGACTCCTGACCAAAACATGCCTTAACCAAAACTTCAGGCAATTAGGGTTAGAATTACTAAATTTGTCCTTACGAATTTTGTACGAATAGTTGGTTGAAAATTGGTAAATTAATAGAACAGTCTGACTAACGGTTATCCCCTGTGATTTACCATTAAGGATATAAATACATATAGGTAGATGAAGAGGGTACATTAGGTAACTGGGACCAATTATTTTTACTATAAAGGCAGGGAAAATGTTGGTAACTAGTAATGGGCAACGTATCCATAATTGGACCAGGAAACAAAAATTTGAAGTCCGAGGGCTTTGAGGGAATATGTGCAAGCCAAAAAGAACCAGTTCTTTACCTATTTTTCGCCCACAAATAAATGTCGACCTCAAACACAAAAGTTTGGTTAAATTTTTGTAAATTTCAACCCTTTTAGGGCAATTTGGTGCTAGTATAGACACTATTCGACTTATTTTGTTGCTTGGGGAACTTATGCAAGCTGTAAAAAAAATGAGATTAGGGTGAAAAGTTACTATAAGTACTTAACAGAAAATTGGGTAGGTATACCAAAAAATTGCTTTTACTTACCGTTTTTATTTTATCCTTTCTCTTGCATGCATTTATGCACTGTGCTGCCAGATCTTTATTTTTTGTAAATATTTGGAAAATGTTTAATGTTAGGTTAGGCAACAGCACACCCCTGCATATTTTAAATATTTATTAAGTCCAACAAATATAACACAAACTTAATAAATAAGGGGCTGTTTATTAATTACGTGAGACAATTTTGGCGATTTTTCGATCCCCCCCTCCCCTTGGTGAGATGTCGTGAGATTTTGCTCGACCCCCTCCCCCCCCCTTAATCTCACGTGAGATTTTTTTAAATGCATAGTTTTAATGTAAATTAGTTAATCTGTGCTTGATTTCATTAGATTTATTAAAAAAAAACAATTTGATTATAATTTTTTTTATACTTAAGATTTGTTGTATTTAAGATTTCTAATATTATTAGTTAAACGTAGCATACACGGTGAGAAATGTCCATTAAATTTTACTCACTGGACTATATGAAACTGTCTTCAAAATTTACAATTGTACATATTTATCAACAGTTCATATTTAATAAATAACTATTCATATTTAATAAATGAATTAATTGAATTTAATAATAGTTAATAAATTTTTCTATCAGTGCATAATTAAACAGCGATTAATATTATTATGTATGATTTAATCCTATTTTTGTGGATAAACATTTTTTACTTAATTTAACCCAGTTTTCTCGCAATTTTACACTCTTTCTTTCGGAAAAAAAAAATTACGTGATATTTGCCGAGATAAAACACCTGTACGTGGCTTATAAATAAAACCTTGTGAATAGTTATTGCTGTTCAATAAATGCAGTAAAAACTTTACGAAAAACGTTGCAAAACCATCGTGCGTGGCTTATACTTAAAAAAACACAATAACTTCGGAAAAAAACTCAAAAAGAAATCGTAGTAAAACACCCGTGCATAGCGTATGCCTGCAACATTTGAATCTGGTTCGCACGTGACGTCACATGCGCGACGAGTTTTCGTTTTATAACCAGCATACCGGTTTTTGTGTACCGTGAATAAAATACAAATTTTTTAAATTTTTAAATATTAAACTTTATATCTTGTAAACAGTGCACTTTAACAATATAAACGTAAGGGCGTTAATTGTAGAAAATTAAATTTTCTACAACTTTTTCTCTGGCTGGTAAGACAAGCCATCTCTTAAAATTTTCAAAAATATTTGAAAAAGGTAAAAAAAATTACTTTCAGAGCTGAAAAATTCTTATGGGCTCTATTAAAAAGCGTTAAATACTCTGTAAGTAACAATGAACCACAATAGGATAGCTTCAAAATGAAAAAGGAAGTACCTTAAATCAAAATTAAGGGATTTTTTTTTCGATGTTTTTAACAATATTTTTATTTGTTTCAAATGAAACACCCTATAATACATAATAATTTTGTAATCAACTATAGATAATAAAACAAAACATTCTAGGTCTCCATAATCTAAGAGTCGGAAAACAGGCAGAAATCATTTTAGAGACGAGAGATTGCAACGATACTCCACTGGACAGAGGAGGAGAACTAGTGATGGTCGAAATCAGATACAAAGACGTGGCAGTATCTAGAAGTTTGCACGTCAACGTGGAAGATAATAGGGATGGTACCTACAGCATTGCTTTTGTGCCAGACGTGGCGGGAAAACTTGTTTTGAGTGTTCTCGTCAAGGGAGAAAAAATTAAGGTAACTCAATACGAGGTTTTTTAATTCACTTATAAGTCAGTTTTTATTTCTTTTTAAATTCCGAAATGGACAGTTTAATATAAAATGCCCGAGCAGATATTAAACAGAACTGCGCGCGCGGAATTGTGCTCAGATACTAAGCTGCTTATAAGGCCTTATTAAATAACGGAACGGCAACCCAATCTATAGTCGCAGCCAAATCTGTATGAGTGCACGTCATAAATGCAATATAAATGCAACTTTGAATTCATTTGCGTATTGTTTACCAAGAACTGTAACAATGTTCCTGCTTAAAACGTTTTTTACGAAATTATGAAAATAAAACCATTCACTTAGTAATTTTTGTGTGTGCCAGTTGCAAATAGCTTAAGGCGGGCGCGCACCGATCAATATTATTGATGGGTCACCGTCATTTTATATTTGTAATTTTGACATTTCGTCGGGAAGCATAGTTTGTTGCATATTACACTTATTTACCCATTTTGGCCACCATGTCTCACTATGATTTTCTTGTGTAGTTTGGCTCCCTAAACGCGAAAATCACACTTACATTTTTTTTATGGAATAGTTTTCGAGGTATGAATTTTCAATTGTTTTTTTTATTTTCTTAGGTGTTTTGACGTTTCTCTTGCATAGTTTTGGTATCGGCTCAGTAGTTTGATACTGGCGATTTTATGAAGTTGAAAAAGTCCTTTTTTTACAAAAATCGAGTTCGAAAATTTACATATCTTTCTGGGAAAGATAGAAATCGAAAGGATAATTCCATTTTGATTTATTTTACGTATTGATTATACTTAAAGGAAAAAAATAAGCTGATGTTTATAACCAAGGATAAATGGCGAAGTTATGAATTTTTCAGTGGACCAAAATTATGTTTTTCGAGAATTTTTACGTTTTTTGTTAATTTTATTGAATTATATAAAATTTAATATTGAACTTTGATATTCATTTTCAACAGTAAATATTGAAATTAAATTGTACCTATATTGAATATTAAACAATAAATATTGAACATTGAAGAAATATTTCTTCAATGTTCAATATTGGAAGTTTTATTTTGTTGTAATAAGCATAGGTTTAAAAAAATTCTGGCTCCTTCTTTGTTTTTTGTTGCTTTCATATTCCGTTTCTCGTATGAGATGATGTAATAACCCATCATGGCTGCATCCCAGAAGCCGTGATACCGCCGCTCCATTTGCTGGTGAAAACGTTCTCCGTTCTCATCACTTACGACGCGTCGCCCAGATTATGCGGGTAATTTACGCACTCGAACTCTCTACTTCGTTTACTTATTTTACACTTTTTATTAATTAAATAAAACCATGATAAAAATACCTCGTTGAAAAAAGTACGCAAAACACATTCCAATCGACAAAAAGTATTAATAAAGCTATTATTATTATTATAATCATGCACTTTATTCAGGTTTTCATTAAAGAATAAACATATGTATATATATTACAAAATAAAAGAAAAAAAATAAAATAAAAATCGTCAAAAAGCTGAAAAATTCATAACTTCGCCATTTTTCCATGTATTCTTATCAACATTAGCTTGTTTTTTTTTGTAAAAAGATCATCTTTACGAAAAAAAAATTCAAACTGGAGTTATCTGTTTGATTTAAACCTTTCCCATGACGATATGTAAATTTTAATGTTAAACTCTGTGCAGTGTTGCAGTGATTTTTAGTATTTTTAGCATGAGATAGAACAGACCTTGTTGTGTGGATTGTGATTATAATGTAATTGTGGTTATGTTTAAATTATTGTAGGTTACATTGAACGGTTGTCAAGTTGAGTTATCAAAATTCGTAGTTAAAAATCCAATTAATTTGGCACTTCTTGGGGCGGCAAAAATCGTGAGAGAAAATGCGAAAAAAAAAATATTTGATAATTAAATATTCTCTTTCGAAATAATATAATTCAAATTCCAATAGATTTGAGATTTTTACAATTACTCAGGTTTAAGTTTTTTTTGTAGGTACTTTTACATAAGGTTGAGAATTTATCTCTTTATTTTTTTCATATAAATTATGTTAAAGCACATTTTATTTGTTGTTTTTCTTTACCTAGGTCTAAGAATTTTTGTTTGTTTTTAATTCTTAAAATATTACAATTTAATGTTACCTATATATATATGTTATATATATATATGTTATATATAATTATATATTTTTAATTTTGCGTACGGTCCTCAAAACTGACTCCTAACCTAACCTCTCTTCCCGCCCCAAAAAAAAACATGAGGGCGACAGCCACTGCTGCCCCGGGCGGCACTTTTTCTAGTTACGCCGCTGACTCTGTTTTCCATATTTCAGGACAATCCATTTCCGTTCGTGGTCCGGAGTCTGAAGCCCCACCACGGGATCTACCACTGCTGCACGTTCTGCTCGAGCGGCGGCAGCAAGGACGCTTGCTGCGGATGCGGGGGCGGCATGCCGGGCGGTTACAAGGGCTGCGGTCACGGACACGACGGCCACCCCGGTAAAAGGCACTGGTCGTGTTGTGGTAACGTTTTGGAACATTCCGAATGCAACAAATCGAATTCGCACTATCAGTTTACGTTGTAAACAATCCGGTGTGAGAGAAGTATGAGTCAGTTAGATTTAGTTTAAATATTAAAAACTAGTTGGGCATAAAATAATATATAATAATCATATTGCAGATTTTAGTTTAAAAATATATTACATCTGTATCTTTAAGAACCTAAACTTTAATGCAGGGGGTAATTTTTGACACAATATACAGGGTGTCTCAAAAAAAATTGTATAATGAGAGATATTTTATAGAATTTAGGCTTATAATTTAAATTATGTATTATAATTATTTAATTCCTATTGTGATTCCTAAAATAAATGGCTACAATATTTAACTTTTTCTTTTACTACTTTTAAGGTTAGGGCTTCTGAGAATTTTACATAATGTGACGCACATTGCCTATCTGACCGATTCAAAGTGGCTAGAAAACGGCCAAAACACAATTTAGGTCTTTTTACAATTGAGAAAATCTAAATTGATGTTCTTGTATACATCTATCTATAGAAACTACATTAAAATTTCAAGTTTTATTTATGAAATTTAAAAAATGAACCTTGTTCACAATTAAGCAAAATTGCCAATTTTTCTTTAACATTATTTAAGTTTAACTGGCTGTAATTTTTAAACTAAAAGATAAAATATTTTTTTTTAAACTAAAGCTCAGACCTTTGTCTCTTTAAAATTGTATAGTTAAAAATAGAATATGAAAAAACAAATTATTTATTAAAAATTATTTAAGTGCTGAAAATTATAAATTTTTAACTTCAAGCAGAAAAAAATATTTTTCTTTGGAAATCTAGGCAAAAATCTTGTGAACTAGACCATATAAAATTTGGATCCGACCGCGGAAATTAATAAGGTTTTTATGTAGTGGTGCACAAACTCAGCCCAGTAAATGTGCTTTATTTAAAATTATTGTTAAATAAAAGCTTAGCCGTTTTATATTCATAATTTTATAGTTCAAACATAAAATATCAACAAACAAGTTATTTATTAACAATAATATGAAGTTTAAAAAAAATTAACTTAAGTGGGATTAAATTTTTTTCTTTGAAAATCAAGCTGACCTAAATATATTTATTTTGTAGGCCAAAATACTGTTAATAAGGCTATATAAACTTTGTGTCCGTCGGCGAAAGTTAATAGGTTTTTTATATTGCCATTGCCATTTTTATTATACCAATCGGCCAATTATAATTGCTCAGGAGGCTCAGGAGTCTAGGAACAAGGAATTTAAATACTCTAGAGAACATCATACTAGAAAAAAATAAGATCTGCAACTAATAAAGACTTGCTTCATAGACTTCTAGCAACCTCCAATCCATTTATATAAAAAAAAAATAATTTAAAAAAAAGGAAAAAACGGATTTAGATTCAACATATACAGAATGGTTACTATAAGTTTTACTACAGACAAAAAACTTCTTATATTTAAATTTATTTAAATAAATGTGTATTATTTCATTTATCAATAGGATATTGCAATTTTATATATTATAATAATTATTATATAATTTATTTATTATTAATTATAATTCATAAATTAAAATATATAGAATTGTATAGAAATAAGATTCCTATTATATTAAAATTGTATTAAAATATCATAATGATATTTTAAATAGTTTTTAAAATATTTATAAAATCGCCGCTACTAATTCAATTATTAAAATATGAAACTAGTCTTAAAATTTTAAAATGATATTTTTAAAAGTTTTTAAAATAACTAAATTTTTAACTTGTGTTAACAACATTTCCATCATTTAAACCATTATAAAATCGCCACTGAACTAATTTAATTTAATTATTTATACCTACCCCAAATATATGATGTTAAAATTTCATAATGATATCTTTATAATTTTTTTTAATGGACACTTTTTTGCCATTCCAGTCCACTGTGCGATATCAGATTTTATGGTAGTACCATTGAGTACAAGGCAACTATAATGATTTTTATTTCATCAATTGAAGGGGTTAGGTATTATTTTTTTAAAATATTTTAATTGCAATACCAAATTTATTTTTATTTACAATCACATTATTGTTTGTTCTTTTTAATTTAAATATAACATGACACCTTCAAAAAATTTGTACAGCAATTAAAATATTTCTTGTTAGCGCGTTATTTCGTTACTATTGGAGATAAAATGTCAAATTTGGTAAATTAAGGATCCTTCTAGCTTCTATGGTTTTCTGCTCTTCTCTTTAGACTTTCGCTGCATTGGTAGAATGCCTGTTTTCTGTTGCTTAAATTTTTGTTTCCATACCTTTTTTTTTGTAGTGGACTTAATTCGTTTTCACAGTTCATTTTTATATTTTAAATAACACTGCATATAGAACTGTCACTGACTTATATTTTTTACGTTTTTTTAATTTACGTTCATGGGTTACAAATTGTAACTTACAATATAATAATAATTGTTTTATAAAAAAAGAAAATAGATTTGTACTATTAACAACATTTTTATTAAAATAATAATTAAATATATGTACATATCTACTTTTGCTCACCTTGAAGCTGCTCAGCTCTAGCTTCAAGATTTCCTACCAAGCTATTCTGATGACTATTTAATTTACTAACAAGTGAACTTCCAGCACTGTTCAAAGTATGAACCAATCCTGCTTGGGCACTTTCCAAGTTTGGAATAGAGCTGTAATACATAAATTCATCTTTACTTAGAAGTTTACCATCGTAAATACCAGCCAACAAAACCAACTGTGGAAACTTCTTAGTGATCTTTAGGAGCTTCTTTAATTCAGGCTCGGGGGAGAAAACAGTCATACTATGGGAAACATAGAACTCCAAGAGAGTCTCATACTTTGTCCCTTCCACCGCCATTTCCAAAGTTTTCCTACCGTAGTTCTTATAATGCATTTTCTCTTTTTTAAACATCACATACGCCTGAAATTGGGTTTCGGCGTTCATGGGGTTCATGTGATAGAAGGCCACCAATCGCGACGTAGTCAGCCAACGTTTCAATTCGCCTGCTATGATTTGCTGGAAGGGGTTTACTCTGTCTTCTTTTTTCCATGCCGAACCTGACCCCTTGCACAATTCACTCATGGGTTTGTCTTTGTTCGGGTTTACAAACCATGGTTTTGTGGCTTCCAAAAACACCGCTTTCTCGTAATGAGCTTGTTTGGGTCTTTGGATGTTGATTTTTCCACGAAACCTTTTGATTTGTACTAGAGGGGTTATAGTGTCGCATAAGGCTAAAATAAACTTTATTTAAATAATTTGTTTTGTTAATTAGTGGATATTCTTACCTTTTCTATTAAATAAAGCCATTTTTATGTTTATATTGTTATATTAAAGCAAAAATCACACTACTTCATTTTATTGAGGTTATGATATTTATTGTGTAGACTGGGTTGCATAACCACGTCGCTCACATTTGAAAAATCAATATATAAAATCGGCGAGGACCGCAATCGAAAATATGAAAGAAACCGAGGTGTAGTTGATGTTTTTAAAGCGTAAACTTGTAACAGGGCGAATTTCTGGCGTCAAAATCCCTTGTAAAATAGATGATAGTGGTAAAAGGCGTCGCTAGGCAACAAAAAGGTCCACTACGTCCGTCGGTGGCGTCGGGACGGTGGAGTATGGTGGAAATAATAAATGGTTTTTTATCGATGGTGTAGTAAGGAATATGAATGAAGTCCAATTATTTTAATATTCAGGTGAGCAAGTTTTTGTTGCACAGCAAAATGTTGTTTGTGCCTATATGCATATGCATGCACTATTATAGCAGTTGCTTTATGCACATCAAAATATCCGTAGAATTATCTTGTTAGGCCATATCCCACATGACACACAAAATTTTATTTAAAATATTAAATGAATACTTTTGCTAAATAACCTAAAGATTTTAGAAATAATAGTCATTTAAATGCCTCTAAAATGTTTTTACAACATTTAGATGTCCCACTTTTTATATTTATACAATATATTTTCACAAAACTATCTGGAAATATTTTCAAAATATTTACAGTTCATTGCATATTTATTTTAAAAATGTTGTTGTAAATGTTGATAAAATGTTGCTTTTATTTTTATAAAAGCCGTGTGATACTTTTTGTGTGCTAAATTTTGTTGTTTTGGTGCAAAAAGTAGATGCATTTACATGTGGTATGGTATTCTCATATCAGATATAATAAAACAGTGGAATACCATAGCTGGAGATCTATTATTTGCACGCTAAAAATACAAGAATAGTATATTGTGTAACAAGTTTGGAATACAGCATATTCCGCTCGAGTGAAAAGTTTGTCACACGAGCCGAAGAGCGGAATATGCAATTCCAAACGTGTTTCAGACCATACTTTTTCTACCATAGAAAACTAATTTAATTGGGAGAATGTGGGGTTGGATCGGTCTAAATTTGTTAGATATTAAATACAGAGATGTCGCCACCAGTGGTATAATTCATATACTTACCAGGGTACAGTGGTAAGTATATGGTATAATTATCATCGATGATATTTTCGAATTGAAACCATGGTATGTAGTAGGTATCGTGCACGAGATATTTAGTGAGAAAATATAATGAATTTTAGGATTTAACAAATTGTCAGTTTGAAATTTGAAATTAAAATGTGCTTTAAAATATAAAAAAATTTAATAAACTTTATTTATTCAAACTTACCTTAATTTCATTATCGTATATACCATAAATAACAAAGCCTGGTATATACGATACGATTTACGATATATACACGATGGTGTATATACACCAACCCATCGATCTTTTAGAGTTTATAATTCATTATTTTAATCATATAACAAACACAGGATTTAAAAGTCAACAAATCGTCACCTGAGAATTTGCATCGGTGTTTCTTCAAGAATGTTTGGTAAAAATTAATAATTATTGATAACCTCAAATTTGATGTTTGTGTCAAAAGTCGTAAATACACTACTTCTTTATTATGGTTTCCATGGTAACGAGTAAACGGTCGCTCCTCGGAAAAGTGCAACTTTGCGCTTTCTTTTGGAAGCGGAAATTTTTACTTTTCGCTTGGTTGTAGAAAAAAAATATTGTCGCTGAGATAAAATGCGTAAGTTTATTGGTTCTAATATTAATGAATTGTATTGTCAGGAATATACCTACATATGTCATTTCAAATTAAAAGGTGATATTAGAACGGTCATATTCCGTAATAAGAGTGGAAAAAATTTAGTACACGTCTTAATAAAAAATATTTAAATAAAAAATATATTATTTTAAAAATATTAGATATAAATAAAAGTGAAATATGAAAACAATTTTTTTTTAAGTTACAGAAATAACAGAATATTTTTCTTTCTACAGTCTTGGTTTTTCTTTTTAAATTTCTTTTTTACTTCCCTTTTCTAAATTTAGCTTTGGCCAGCCATTGTCGTAAGTCCGGTAAAATGTCATTTTCCGTCGCATTTTCGGTTTTTTGATTTTTCCGGATGGAGGCTAAAAATAATCTAATTTAAATTAAAGTCTTCGGTTTAATCCCGCTCGGAGAAATTAAAAAACAATAATATTTTTGGTTTTCCAAGCGATTTTATTAGGTTTATGTTTGTTTTTTGTTAATAAGAAATTTACTGATAGAATAATCGTCTTCAATAGGGTGGCAATAAAATGGACTGCAATAATACCTAATAATAATCTAAACAATAAAAATAAATATAATACATACCTCTAACAGAAAGGATTATCTGGATAATTTATTATTTTAACCTTAGAAGATTTTAACTTGGCGTCGCACTTGAAACACAACAAAGGTTAAACCTCCAAACGGCCTGACAACATTTTTAAAACATTGTTTTGTCGTATGGTCAATATTAATGTAAATTAAAAATTAACACATTATACAAGGTGTAAGAATTTTAAATTTTTTTTAAAAATACATTTTTTCTAATCATCAAGCCAAAACGTAAGACTCTTTTTGTTAAATATGAATTCAAAGTTGATCTCTCTTTTTAGGTGGTAGCACTGTTCATGTTATCTCTGATACCATGGCCTGGGCCAACTGTATTCAAAATCTCGTGCCCGAGAGATAACGCGAGAATTGTCCGACGGATAGTTCAGAACAAATGGATACCCATATTGGAGAAATACAAAGTAAAACTGCCCCTGGAATGCCCCTTTCATCCGCAAAGGGACATTTTCGGGCCGCAGCAAGCGGCCAAACAGCAGCACAGGCCTTCGCAATGGACCTGCGGCATATGCGGGAAATCCTTTTTTGAGGAGAAATATTTAGATTTGCATTTTGACAATCGACATAAAGGATATATTAATATGGTAGGATACTATGCAGATTATTTTTTCCTTTTCCTTATTTTGTTATTAATTTATTGTATTGGCCTGATAGGTATGCCAACTTTAATATTGAATGTACTTTTAGGCTGAAGACGCTGTGTGCCTTGCAGATTATTGCGATATAATGCGTTGCGACGTTCTTATCACTCAAGATCCGAAAACCGTGTTTCCCGACCTGGAAAACACCGACGTGGAAATTTGGCGTGAAGCGACATCCTACTCCAAAGCCCTAGCAACTTCCGGACCAAGAGACGTAGCAAAGTACACCTTCAAAAACGGGAACTACCCTCATCTGCAGAAAAACGTGAAAGTGGTCGCGAAAGCAAAGAAATCTTGTCAGAAAACGGAAGCGCCAGATGCCGCAGCAAACAATGGTAAAAAAGTTGTCGAAATTTTCGACTTTACTCTATAGAAAGTGATCAACCAATCACCTCCTTTAGAAAGGTTCCATAAATTAACCATTTAGAGCACGGCATTCTCCACCGCACGCTAGATTATAATAAGAATAAAGTGCTTTAATTGGTTAATCACTTTCTTTAGAAAACCGCAAATTAAAAATCCCTACAAAACTTTTTGTAGAGGAACGCGGCTCGAAAGACGACGAGAAATCCCAGCACAATGCGAGCACTAACAACGTTTGTCAAAACGATTTGGTGGACTCGGCTCTGCCTGCACCTGATAACAGACAGCAACGAATAGCGGAACTGCAAAAATTAAAGGCCAACTGCAAGCCGGAAGAATTGCAGAAGGTGAAAACGAAATGCGAGATCCTAGTGCGAGATTGCATCGCCAGTTTACTTTTACAATTGTCAGTTAAGGATTTTAAAGAAGTAGAAGGTAAGAATTTGCGGTACTACTTACATACTTTGACTTGAAAAATCCATAAGTTTCATTGTATTGTTGAATAATACACTTGTGATTTACAAGTTGTGACTTAAATTTGACGTTTCTAAAACAAATGACGATTTAAAAGAATGTGTTGAGAGCGATTTACGTAAAATTAAATATTTGTGCATTTGAACTACTTCATCGGTATATCATGCCTAATTCGCTAAAAATTGTGGTTTCACAACATGGCAAACTACGTAAAACACATAATATATTTTTAAATAGATTTATAATATTAAAAATCCTTTTAGACGAATTAAATAGAGCTGTGTGTTGGTACCTGACCTGCGATAGATATTGGGAGGATTCCCAAGCCGATATTCGAAGTTTCCCGTGGGGGCTTCTCTGTATGATTATTATGGTTATGTCTTTGGGCATTTGTTTATGTTATTACATAATTTGGGTTCTATTTGAGTGAGTAATCGATTTTTATTTCATTATTCAATCGCATTTCACTACATTTATATGGCATTAGTTTTCATTCAACCGTATTTAGATTTTATGTAGGCATTTAGTTAGAATGGTTAAATTTGGGCATAAAAAATACATTTTCTGGCTTAATGCGGCCGGGTCATTATTGGGTTTTGTCATATAAATGTGGTTTGCTCGTATTTGTGAGAGCATTACTCTAATTTCAGTACTGATGACGTTAGTGTTACTAGTGCCAGTATGACCGACAGGTCCACTCCGTCGCCGGCTCACTTATTGAGGGGTGACGCCTCCACATCGGACGGACATCAGATTTATACCGAGGATTATTATTTGGCACCTGATAAAGATAACGAATATATTTATGTCACTTACCCACCCGACCTAAAAAGAAGATTACTGGAAAGGTAAGAATTCCTTATGATTTTAGTACCTATAGTATACTTAAATAGTTGTTATAAATTTAGAGTTAATTTTGTTAGGGTAACTTTAGTAATACTAATAAATTTTCTTAGTTGCTACAATCGAACAACCCGCTTGTAATAATGGAAATTTCCTAAATAGAAGTCCGTCTTTTTCAAGCATCCAACAGGCTAGTTTGTAGTTTAATTTCAAGAGCTTTGTATGCAATATTTTTACTTACCATAAACCAAGATAATTATTTCTTGACAATGTACTGAGTTCTTGAAATCTTAGATTGTAGTTGGTAGATAATTTTGTTATTAAATAAAATTTGGTACTGTTAGATTAAAGTAAATAGCTAAACGAGTGATATAAGACGCTTTTCTAAATCCTTTTTAGTTTAGTTAGTATTTATTTTAAAAACAAGTTTAGAGCAATAATACTTTTCCCAATAAATTTGTACTACATGAAAACTATTATTGTTTTAATTTCAATAAGTTGTGCCTTTATTTGAGTTCAATTAAATCAGGTTTAGCTCCTAAAACACGTCATTTGATAGGTTTTTCAAGATTTTTCAACAAAATGGGCAAGCAACCTAAAACTAATAATAAGGCGACTTTTCAGCAAATGTAATCGCAGTTAATGTGTCAAATATTTAATAAAATAAAATTTCAATGCACTCTTTCAGCGATTAAATATGCAACAACCTTTCTGATAAAAATGTTCTTATGAAATTATTGTCAAACTAAATAAAGATTTATTACAAATAAAGTGTCATTATTTACTACCGTTAGTATTTAATTAGGCGGGTAAGTACCGAAAATGTCAAAGTGTTTCCGTCTTTATAGTTTTTTTTTTGTATACATTATACATAATATGGTTTTTCTACTCCCACCTTTAAAACGCCCATTATTGTACATGATTCCATCACACCAAGTGATCTTTTAAATACACATTGACAAGTTATGGCGCTTTAGTCACGGGCTGAAGTTAGCTTTAAGTTAGTTGACAGTCCAATGTCCATCATTAAAATACAACTCTCACTTTTTGTACTTTTAACATTTCCCGTGTAAGAATTTTTAAAACTTTGCGATAAAATTTTGCAAAAATTGCAATAATAATTATTATAGTAATAAAAAAAATCAAAGAATAAAATATTTTCTTTACATAATCATATTTTGAAGTTATTTGAATAGTATCAATAACACGTGTACTGTAGGGAAGTGAAAATATCACAGCTAAACGCTCAGACATGTAAACTTAATTTTTGGTTGTAGATTACAAATACGTGATTGGTTTATCTGTATCAGTATCAAAATTCAAAGATATTGGAAAGACCCTGTATAAATTTAAAAAAAAATAATTTGGCTAATAATGTAGGAAATTCAAATTGTTTTTTTTTGCTGATTTTTTTTTTATTGAGCATAATTGAGGATATTATATTTAACGAAATTAAAAGCAAAGAAATATTGGCACAAGAGGTAAAATATATTATTTTAAAAATTATAATATACCAGTATACAAAAATTTGGAATCTACAACCAAAAATTATTTTTAAGTGTCCGAGCGTTTAGCTGTGATATTTCAGGAGTTGAAAATTACCTACAGTGTACAGTGTTTAATAATAACGGGCAATGTTAATTGTGAAAATTACGTCAAAAATGTTTATAATTTTTTAGATAATATTAGGTATTTGTCGTAGAAAATGTCTTTTTATTAAACTTTATACATAATATAAGTAGTATTATATGTCATATAATCGGCTGAAGGACTACGGTCAATTATTGACCTATTATAGCCTTTGAACTTGGTTTTAGTTCAATAAAGCATTATTATTATTATTATGTCATATAAACCATATTAGTTGGTTAAAAATAAAAGATGGTGGATTGTAAAATTAATTATATTCAATGAATGAATGTATATTACAAACACTAAGGATAAAATAAACGTTTATAATTCATCTTTGTCAAAAACCGTGTTTTTAGAATGCAAAAATTTTAATCGAAACGTGGAAAACTGCCCTCCAAAACAATATCGAGAAGAACCGCCTCTCCTGTACCTAAATCTTCTTCATCGAGCTCCTAAAAAAATTAGGATTACTTCAAAGCATTCATTCGTCATCATTCACACAAAAAAGGGGAGTCGGGAAATGTGAGAAAGAGGGCTACGAAATAAAATGAATGGAAGTTTCTAGTGAGTGAAAGAGAGGAACACGACATGCACGCGTCACGCACTCGATTAAAATCTGAAAAGCCTGAAAATTAATTGGTTAATCGTATCGACGTCGGTACGGCGGCCCGCCTCGACCGCCACGATCCCTGACGCCGCCACCCCCGCTACCGCCGCCCATCGGCGGTCTCGTTCCCTCCATTCGTCGCTTGTGCTCCTCCATTCTTATCTCCCTTTGTTGCTGCTTCATTTGAATCTGCAACAAGCAGAGGTATGCATGTTTTGGGTGATTTTTAATAATAATACATTTTTTTATTTGTCCAAAAGAAGCAATATTGCTTCTTTTATATAACATCGCTTACAATAGCTATTTGTGTATTAAGAGCGCAAAGTGATACATTGCCGCTCTGAGCGAGAAGTTTGACGGCTATCTCGCGAGAGCGGCAATGTCACTTTGCGCTCGAGTTACACACAGGATTTTTTCTACAAGAATGTTTGGTAAAAATTAATAATTATTGATAACCTCAAATTTGACGTTTGTGTCAAAAGTCGCAAATACACTAAACGTTTCTTTATTATGGTTTCGATTGTAAGTAAGCGAGCGACAAAGTAAAAAACGCGTTCGGCAAAGTGCAACTTTGCGTTTTCTTTTGGAAGCGCAAATTTGTAATTTTCGCTTGGTTGTAGAAAAAATATATTTCATGTTCCATAAGTAAACATTTTGACTGACACAAAAAAGTTTAATTAATAATAAAAGGGACCTATTGTCAAAAAAAAACCAAATTTAAGCCATAGATAACAAAGCCTTTAAGCTTCTTCAAATGCCACACTAAATTTTTGAAAATTTTCTGAATGGGGCTTTTAAAAAAAAATCTACAGAAAGCGCTTCAAACTCAAAATGAAGGTGTCAATGCAAGAAATGCCTTATAGTCACAAATAGGTGATTCTGAGATATTGTGGTTTGAAGGTTTATTTTTGATTATAATCAAATTATGATCATAAATGAAATATTGCACAAAATATTATGATCAAAATGTGTTTTATTGTATTCCTGGTAGAAAATGGATTTGGTTTCCATGATTAAAAAAGAAAAAACATTTTAGGTTATATTCAAAAATATATATAATAATTTGGCACTTTTTGTGTTGAAATTTTTATATTTTGTCAAAAATTAAGGATTATATTAAGGAAAAAAAAGTTTTATTATAGGTATAACGCCGTAAAAAATACAATGTGTGAACAAAACTTAAGACTACATAAACATAATATGAATGACAAGAAACGCTTAAAGAAAAAGATTACAACACGATAAATAAAACTTAACTTAAAGCAAAACTAAGAACATAATAAAAAGGCTGGCTAATCATAAACAGCGTCGGCCTCTTGTAACTGATCAAACTCTTCATCAATGGTATCATTTTGCTGAATTATACTTCCATTTTGAGACGAGGTTCAAACAAAAAATTCAGTGTCCAATGATTGAACGTGCTTTACAAGATGGGTTACGTTGTTAAATTTCAACTGCTTAAATTTTAGATTGGTTCCATGTAAATGGGACTGCTAAGGTTGCGAGCTTAGGATGAAGTCAATGTACAGTTGTATTCAATAAAAAAGCGTACAAGAATTAGAATGAGAGAAAACGTGCCAAAATAATATTATTGCTTAAAACCGGCTTATCACTGACATAAGTCATTAAAATAATTATTATAGGTTATAAAGAGCATTGACGTCGCACAGTGGGGTATTTGAGCGATCTGGGCGGTCAAAATTTTTTAGTGGTTAAATTGGGTCGAATTTTAATATCCTGCTGCTTTTTAGTAAATTTAATAAAATTTAAAGGATAATTGGCAAATATTTAAAGAAAATCAAACAAAATTAATTATCACAAATAAAAACTTTTTGGAAATTAATGACGAGTTAGTCAGAAAATGAGTTGCCTTCGTCAGACATTAATTCAGTATCATCTTTAGTTTCCTCGTCATCAGAATTCTGTACCGTATCGCTTTTTGCTGGAAGTTCAGCAGAAAGCAGCATTTCAATGGTTTCCTTAACCCTTCGTTAGGCGCCCGGTATTTTGTAAAGCGGTTGGTCGCACGGTCTACGATCGTAGCCCATGTTGAGTTTATTACTATGTGACCCCTTATATCTCAAATCATTAAAAATGTTAAAATATAAGTTTATTTATGTGTATACTTTGATAAACTGTATACTTTACATCAAAATATATGTATAGGAAGTGAAAAACAAAATATTTACATTTTTATACTTTAAATATCACGTAGATGTTTATTTAAAACAATAACAAAAAATTTAACAAAACATGTAGTAAACTAAACCTAACATACCAATATACATACAAAAAAATTCACTTTATTACAACCCTTAGAAATGGGGGTATGAAAATGACAATATTTTTACTCGGCCAAGCAGGTAATACACAAATTTTCCATGTGTTCTTTGCATGCGTGATGGCCACAAGCATCTCTTGTAGACTTATCACGGGCAAACATGGCATTGGCCAACATAATTTTGACGTTCATGCCGAATGGAAAGGGGGGCTAAAACCACTTCCAATCCAAGAAGAGTACGCGCTCGTCTTTTCAGCTCCACCGCGGTAAAGAGACAACAGTTGATCTTACTTCTATCTGTGGCCTGATTAATTTCCAGGCAAACTTCTCAATAAATTCAGTTCTAGATAGTTTTTCTTGGGGATGGTTTGCTTTATAAACGCAAAGGGCATTTATACCAGCTATATTCAAAAGATCATAGAAAATGACCTCCACATCTACACTGTTACACTTTTTTTTGTGATCTCTCACTTAATTCTTGAAATATTTTCTTAGGCCGCCCCGGTCGACTAGTAACTTTCAAAATTGTAAATTTAACTTTCAACAAATCTTTATTCTTTTTAGTAAAAGTTTCTTCTTTATTATATGCTGCAGCCCATCGAAATTTTATTTCAGACTTGAAACGTGAAAAATTATTCTTGATTTCCTTTATTTTGTCAACAGTGTAATCGTCATAACCTATCAGGAAATTTTCCATGAAATCAAGTTTCTCATTAATTGTGGGAACATTTTGTTTCTGCATCATGTTGAAAAGCTTAATTCGAGTAAAAACTTTGACGTTTGATGGACCTAAGAGAAATAAAAAATCATTAGAAACATAAATCAAGATTTGCTAAATAATTGTCATTTCGAACCTTTAAAGGTTGGACACTCTGATTTCCAAAAAACAAGTGATTCCGTGGCAGTTTTAAGCGAAGTCGTAAACATGAATAATCATGATATATGATACAAGTTTTTATTTTGGCGGGGAACTCCGGGAAGTACAACTAATTTGGTCCTTTTTAAAAATTATAAGCCAAACCAAAAGCAATAATAAGCTATTTTAAATTTCACATATAAGGCTCATAATAGAAACTTATCTTAATAAAAATACCTGAAAAGTATGCTCACTTACCTGCCATCGTATAATCCAAAACAATACACTTGAAATTAAAACACAAAACGAAACTATCACCTTTGAAAAATAATAATTTTGAAGTAACGCCGCAAACAACAATTTCACTTCAAATGTTAAAAGTTTGTATGTTTACACGTGTGGGACGGTAATAATAGTAGATTATTGTTCTCTTATGATCATTCTTTCGAGGAATAATTTGTTTTTCTACCCGAATTTACTTTTTTAAAATCGATTTTTAACCGCCCAGATAGCTTAAATACCCCTCTGTGCGTCGTAGGTTAATTAAATAATATTACAAAAATTATTAATTTTTAATATAGATTTTTTATTTCTATTATACCACGTTACGAATTGACCATTCTTCTTCGATTCTTGATACTATTTGAGCCTTTTAAACTGACGAGGCATTTTTATTTTCTACTTTCAGTTATAGTGACTTAAGTCAGTGGAAAGCCGGTTTTACGCAATAATGTTGACAGTTTTCTCTCATTCTAATTCTTGTACGCTTTTTTAATGAATACAACTGTAAGATAAGAATAACAAAATAAATTTTACCTATATCCATTGTAAAAACGGATACCAAAAACGGATACCAGTATGTTTTAAGGTAACACAAGCTGTTTTATTTTACTTTACTTACCTGCCATAGTCATGTTTTAATCACAGACACAAATTATTAGGATTAACACAGCTTAATAGGTAATTTGCTTATATATTACATAATTTAAATAAAGTGGACTAAGGCATTGCATCTGTCAAAATGATGACTTGCGTACTTCTTGCATTGAAAAACATTGAATTAAATGCAAACTAAGGCACGTAGACGCAAGTTTCTTCCACTCTGCAAATACCACCTGAAAGCTTACGTGAAACATTCGCAGATGGCGCCACAATGTCAATTTTATTGAAAATGTGACTTAGGCACTTCTTGAATTGACCCCTTTAAATGGTGCCAAATTAGTATCCAGCAGGGCTTAAGGGTTTAAAATTTGCCACTATATTATTAAATTTATGAAATAGTAACTGTGTGCATCTGTAACGTTCCAGTAAAAGTACTGAGTCATATAAACATTAAAAAGCATAGGTTGAAAAAAATAATAATAATCTTAAAAATATTTAAGTACCGTATTTACCTCTTCCGGAGAAAGGGGCTGCCAATAAATGCTTGGTGTAGCTTTCGTTTTCAAGAACAAATCGTCCATTAATTTTTGCGGTACTGCTTCTTCGGCTTTTCTATTTTTTCTGCCAATGAAATCTGCAACAATAAAATCAATTAATCAAAAAACAAAAAAATCATTTGAAACTCTTACCATCTGATGGACTAGGAGAGCGCTTACTGTATTTTCTGACCCTTTCTCGGCTTCGAGACCGGCCCCTGCGGTCCTCTTTACCCAGATCCCACTCTCGTACGTGTTCGCCGCTCCTTCGTCGTTTCTCCTCCTTCTCCTTGTCTTTGCCGTGCTTGGTGTTGTCGACAGGTTCGGTTGGTTCCTGAAAAGATCAAACAAATTACTTTTTATGTTTTGGGCCTACCGGGATCTGTCAAATAAGATAACGCAGCACAATGCGGCCAAGTCGGTGGGTTTTTTTAATGTTACAAAAAATAACCGACATTTTAGCGAGCTATGTAAAAAATTAAATATACAGTGTGTCCACGGATGGACTTAACTGTACTTGTAAAAATATTTATTTTAAATTTTTCATAATTTCTTTTGATTGTTATATAAATACGATTCGTACAGGGTGAGCAAAATACAGATTTCAAAATTAATTTTTTTTAAATATTTGTTTATGAAGCGCTAATATAAAGAGCTGGTAAGGAGAAATCAAAAAGTCAAATGAAGTTTTTTCATATGAGTTTTTGATACTAAAATATTTGATATTGAAAATTTAAGATATTAGTTTTCAAATTTTAACAAATAATTGTAGACATTCTAGACACGTCAGTTAAAAGCAACAACCTTGATTCATAATCACAAAATGAGTCAATTTCTACAAAATAATAGGACCACTCAAGTTAGGATCTGAATTGATTTTATTTTTAATAACAAATATCTTAGTAACAACAACTCACATGAAAAAACTTTATTTGGCTTTTTGGTTTCTCCTTACAAGCTCTTCATATTTAACAATTTTTATTGCGGGTTTATACAACTTCATATTATTAATTTATTTCATAATTCACAATTTAGTGCATAAGCATAAACGTTAAATCGCACTATTATAGTATAATATAATATGCTATGAAACAGTTTATACAACGATTTAATCCGTAACTCACAATTTAGTGTACATCGAATAACCTTGAAAAAAATATATGTAATTTCATTTTTTTTTGCACTCAATCTAATATAACTTTTGGTTTCCTAAGATATGCACATATATTTTAATTAACCTTGGCTGAAGGACCTAGGTCAATGGCCTTTTGATTGTTGTAATTTTTGTAATTCATGATAATCAATAAATAACTATTATTATTATTATTAAATATTTAAAAAATGTATTTTTTACCTTGTTTTCCTTTTCAACCTTCTCAGGAATAACAGGAACCGGAATTGGTGGTGGATTAAAAGCTTTATCCAACTCTTCTTTGGTGGAATATTCTATCTGCAACTTTTTTCCGTTACCAATTGGCCAATGTATTCCATGAAGGGCATTCCTGGTCGCTTCTGCCTCTCTATAAATAAAAACAAACGTATAAATGAACAAAGTCCACCCTTTAAGCAAAACATTTGAACTTACTCTGCCGTTTCGTATTCCACTATGCATTTGGATTTAATTTTGTCGGTCCATAATCCATTTTCCTCCTTCAGCTTGCCCGTGCGTTCCAGCAACTCCTTCAGCGCTTTCAGAGTGAACGGTCGCACCAAGTTGGAAATGTACAGAACTTCGGATACGGGGTTTTTGGCGGGACTGGGGGGCGGCTTCAACTTGCTGGCCGTGTCGTCCACGATGCTGATCTTCCTGTTCATGGCGATGATATTTTTGTCCACCACGGGTTCTTCGTTTTCCCCCTCGATAACAGACTTGTCCGATTCGGACTTTCGATCCGCAGATTCGCGGCGTTCCCTCGCCACTTTTTCGTTTTCGACCGAAACATGGCTGCCTCTTCTGATCGCCGGTTCCAACTTGACTTCGTTCTCTTCGAGGAACTCCAGCTTTGGGCAGACTTCCTTCAACGATTCCACGTCCACTTTGCACACGTCGGAGCTTCGGTAATCCACCGAACCCCAATTTTTGCGACGTTTTGGAATCGAAGGCGCTTCGACGCCGGGTTCGCTCTCGTCGATCGAAGATTGCTCGCAATAGCTGCGTCTGACCAGCTTGATCTTTTTCGTGGTTTTCTTAAACACTTGTGGTTCTAAGAAAATAGATTTATTAAAAAAATTAAGACTATACTTTAACAGCAGATTCTACGTACAAAAATAGAACAAAAAAATTTCCTATAAACATATCGTCACCTGAGAATTATAGTGTTCTATCTGCATTTTCTTTTTTTTATTCAGGTTAGTCTTATTTTAAGTATTAAAGATGCATATTGTTCTATCTATATATAATTGGGGTAGAAATTGTACAGTTTAAGCCTTAAACTTTACAGTTTCTACCCCAATTATATATAGATAGATCAATATCATCTTTAAGACTTAAAACAAGACTAACCTGAATAAAAAAAAAGAAAATGCAGATAGAACACTATAATTCTCAGGTGACGATATGTCAAAAAATTCTTCCGAAGGGAGCTACAGTAGAGATGTAAAAAAACGGTTTTTTTCAAATGTGATAAAAAACATGAAAAAAACCTAGAAAAAAAACGGTTTTTTTGTTCTTTTTCAAAATGAAATTTTGGGTAAAATGTATATTAATAATAAAGTGAATAACTTTTTGCTTGGCCATATTGGCCCAATGGCGCCTCCAATAAATATAATATAAATTTAATTGGTGCAATTTATTATTTACCATAGTTTATCAACAAATTTCAAATTTTATATAAAAAATATTATTTGGTAGTTTCCACATTAGAAACCAATAGCAATGTAAAACTTCTACACTAATACAAAAAATTAAAGGATAACATTTTTTTTGCGATTTTTCGGATAGCTGTATCTTTGTTAAAAATGGTCGTATTGGAGCCGTAAAAAAAGCAATTTGAAGCTTGAAGTTTCTAGTTTTGAGATTTTTAGATGAAAAAAGTGCAACGCTCAATCCTAACGAGTACCGTAATAAAAAAAATCGATTTTTTTTGCTTTCTTTTTTGGTCCACGGAATGTTCTGACTTAACCACCAATGAATAAATGTTCTACAAGAATTTGCTATTGTTTTTTTGGAAAAAAAAAATTTCCATACTCTACATGAATTTGAAAAATCATAAAAAAGTGCTTTTGGTAGCTTTTTGAAAAATCAAGCGCTGAATCAAAAATATTATATGTAGTTACTTTTTATATAACCAAATTAAAACAAGCGCGGCCCTTATCGGTCAAATCGGTGGTTGTGGCGCGTGCATAGCGCGAGACTGTATTTACATTTACTGTCATTTAGTGGCTAATTTTAGTCCATGGAAACAAAAAAATTTGCAAATGGGACTAATCTTGAAAAAAAACCTAAAATGTGAAAAAAAAAACCATTTAAAAAAAACAATGAAAAAAAACCTGAAAAAAAACAAAAAAAATGGACCGTTTTTTTTCAAGTCGTATCTCTAAGCTACAGCCCCCAAAGAGGAGCCCCTGATGATGGTTTTATTTAATATCCACAAAACCGTTCAAGATAGAAAAATGAAATTTTGAGAATTGATCAAAAGTACATTGTATAAAATGTCACCTGTCTTGAATAATTTTTCATAAACATGGCCATCGCCCAAGCTAAATCTTTTTCTCTAGTTGTAATTTCATTATGCATTTTTATGCCATGTAAAGTAATTTTAAAATCGATTTTAAGCGAAAATATTATTGAAGTTCAAAAGAATGACCTTTTTTGTGTGCAAACCTCAAAAATAAAATAGTCAGGCATCAAATCCTGGGACAAGACACCTACAAAAAAGTTAAGCTAGTTTTACCCTTACTCCCTATCTATCTGACCCACCCCTTAGGAAGTATTTCTTGACCTATATTTATAAACGATTAAATCAACGATTTAAATCAAGTGATTTTTTTATTTTATTCAATAATTTAAATCGGTTTTAAAAACAATTTCTAAAATCTAAAAAAACACTTAAAAGATCTAAAACTAAAGCACAATAATATCTTGACACTATTTAAATAAATTCATATGCATAGAAAAACTGCCTATTTTGTTAAATAAAATAATAAAGGAATATACAAAAAAATATGACAGTTGCGGACGGTGGTTTATTTGTTTATAAAGTAGTGCCAATATACAGTGTGTCCACGAATGGACTTAACTATACTTGTAAAAATATTTATTTTAAATTTTTCGAGGAAAAGTAATTTTTCATAATTTCTTTTTCTTGTTATATAAATACGATTCGCGTTGAGAAAGATCCTTTTTGTTGTACAGGGTGAGCAAAAATACAGATTTTCAAAATGAAAAATTTTTAATTAATTTTTTTTGAAGCGCTAATGTAAAGAGCTGGTAAGGAGAAATCAAAAAGTCAAATGAAGTTTTTTCATATGAGTTTTTGACACTAAGATATTTGATATTGAAAATTTAAGATATTAGTTTTCAACTTTTAACAAATAATTGTGGACATTGTAGACATGTCAGTTGAAAGCAACAACCTTGATTCATAATCACAAAATAAGATAGCAGTCAATTTCTACAAAATTATAAAACCACTCAAGTTAGGACCTGAATTATTTTTAACAAAAAATATCTTGGTAACAACAACTCACATGAAAAAACTTTATTTGGCTTTTTGGTTTCCCTTTACAAGCTCTTCATATTAGACAAAGAAACACAGAAAATAGTATATTCTGTAACACGTTTGGAATTGCATATTCCGCTCTCGTGAAACCGTCAAACTCGCCTTCGGCTCGTGTGACAAACTCTTCACTATGCTGTATTCCAAACTTACTATTAATAATGCTTATAATTTAAAAAAAAATCAAAAAATCCATTTTTTGTTGATGTTTTTGATAAAAATCATTGATTTTTGATTTTTTTTTAAATCATGATTTTTTCGAACTTTGATACTTATATTGGGGTGTCCGTTATTTACCAAGTTGATTTTTGAACAAAGCCCCCTAAATTTTTAGTTCATATCTTAAAAAAATTATAGAAACAAAAGAAGTTCTTAATGTTAATAACGGTTAATAATAAACCTTGCAGAAAACACGATACCTTTCCCCTTTAAATAACATGGTATTTTTTTACTTTTTACATTTAATTTTTTTCTCTTGAACAGCAATATCCAATACATATTTTTGTAAGAAATTGAAAGCTCTACAAAAAAGCGTTTTTAGCAATTTACGATAAAATCACTTATTAATAAGTTATTCATAAAGAAAGTTGAGTCCATGGTTTTAAAAGTTGGGGTTTTACTTTTAAGTAAAACTCATAAAACTTGTGTTTTAGTAAAAAATAATTTAAATGATACCAAATTAGTTTAAATAAGGCTGCTTAAATGCCCAGGCCTTGAAAAAATTGGCTTTTTTTGAAAAAATATATATATTTTTTGGAAAATATACACATTTGAAAAAAAGTAGCAAACAACTTTATGTTAACATTATTTTAATTTAAAAAATATCCTCACAGAAAAAAAAATAAAAATAAACATTGAATTAAATTAAATTGATTTAAGAAAATAAACGTAAACGTTAAATATACAGTCGGTTGGGTCTTTTTTGCAAAAAGGAGTCCACTAAAAATATTCAATTACAAAATAATAAATGATTTATAAAGTTAAATTACAAAATTATAATTATATAAATCAGTGTCAAATAAAATAAAGTTATGTTAATTATTATACAGCTCCGAATATGTTTTTTTTGCGACTCCGTAGAATATTTTTACTGAATTAAAATAAAAGGAATACCAAATTATTATAATCATAATATTATGATAATATACAGCGTCGGAAATTCACTTTTTTCTCCTTATCAGTGTACGATTGTATCCGTAAAAAATTTACCTTTGCATTTTTTTGTATTACCCTTTGAATAAAATGAAGAAAATGCAATAGTCAATTTTTCCAGATATATATTTTTTTTAATTTAAGATTTCACAGGGTTGTTCCTAAAGTAAAACCACTAAAATTTGACACCTATCCTGTTGCCATAGCACAATCAGACATATTGACCATGGATTCAACTTTGGTAAGAAAGCTTTTTATGAGCGTTTAATTTCAGAAGAAAAAAATTAAATGTTAAAAGTAAAAAATCCCATGTTATTTAAAGGGGAAATGTATCGTGTTTTCGGCAAAGTTAAATATTAATATTAAAAACTTTATTAGGTTTCGTTTTTTTCAGTTATAAAAACATCAGTTTAAATACAGGACACCCTACAAAAATGTTTTGAAGTTTTTTTGTGTAATAGTCATACTTGAACAGGAAAAGTAAAAAAATATGGGTCATTCCACCAAATGATTTTTTTTAATGTGATTTCCGCGGATTTTTTTTAAAATTTTTTTGAGTTATTCTCTACCGTAAATACGGGTGACTTTGCACCCCGCGGGTGACTTTAACCCATTTATGAAAAATCTTTTCGCGCTCGATAAAATTAACATTTATAATTTGTTGGTCTAAACCTGTCAATTGAGCGATTCTATTGAGTTTATATTACAGGAAAATCAGTGTTTTAAAGAAAGAAATTTAATTTATTACACTTTAAAATTGTATATATCGTATCAGTGCAAAACTCTTAGAAATACACGCGTTACAATTTCTATATTATGCGCAATCCATTGGAATGATGATCCTTGGTTAACTACAGGTCGATTTTTTATTTTTTTTATTGGTAATCCCTTGCAATAGATATATGTCGCTGCTAACACGTGTCTAATAAAAATAAAATATAATATTACATTCATTTTATACTGAAAAAACACTGTGAGACAAAGTAACCCGCAAACAGGGGGTAACTTTGCACACCCAGTTTTTAATGTTTATTTTTGAAACTCAGCCCTATGTAATATTATAACATAGTTATTATGAAAGAGCAACTCAAGACTCAAATTTTGGTATACAAAATTTAATGTTTATGATTGTTAAAACCACAAAAATTTTAACCTGAAGTTTGAAAGTGAGCCAAAGCCACCCGTGTTTACGGTACATAAAAAAATTACTCACTGAAGATTTGAACTGTTAATATTAAGTTTGACAATATTTCTTTTATAAATATTTTTTTTGTAAAAAAAATCTTAGCTTTTCAATGAAGATATTCAGTCTTTATTAAAAGTAAGAGTAGACCCTCCAAAATTCAATGAAAGTAAAAATGCGATTTTTATTAAATATTATTTCTTAAACCCAAGAATTTTTACAATAAAACAATAATATTTTTATAAAAGAGAATTTACAGTACTTTAGCACTTAATATAAAGAGTTTAAATATTCAGTGGGTATTATAAAAAATTATAATTATAAATTAAAAAAAACCGCAAGGGTCACTTCAAAAAATATATATTTGGCGGAATGACCCATACAAATATTAAAAAAAAAACCAAAAAATTAATAAACTAATGAGTTTTTTAACACATTTTTTGAAGAAAAATGTTAAGCAGACAACTGACCATAATCTTAGAAACTTTTACCTTTTTTTTCAGTGTCCATTGACCCAGAACTGATTTTTCGTTTCCTGACCTCCTCACTTCCCGAAGTAACCCAACTCCTTCTGGATTTCTTTGGAGAATCTTCATTATTCATATCTTTGTGATTCTCTTCTTTCTTGTTTTGTTTTTCATAAGTTGAAGACCACTCATCAGTTTTTTTATTATCTTTAACCTTTCCTTTTATATCTTTTGTTTTAGCTTCGTTCACATTTTCTGTTTCAGCCCCATTTTTTGCTTCCGGTTTAGCTTCTTGTTGTTCAGCTTCAGTTTTAGGTTGTTCTACATCAACTTTTATTTGTTGCACTACTGCAGCTTCAATTTGCTTCTCTGATTCAACTTTAGCTTCACTTTGCTGTTCGGATTTAGCTGAACTTTGCTTTTCCGATTCAACATCAGTTTTACTTTTCTTGTCTGGTTTGGCTTCAGTGTGCTTGTCTGCTTCAGCTTCATTTTGCTTTTCTGGTTCAGCCTCAAGTAAAGCTAATTGTTCCTCAACAGAGTTGTTTAACTTTTCTGGAGGGTCAATTTGCTGTTCCCCTTTGACAGTATTTTGGGGTTGTAGTTTGGAATTTTCAGTATTATTGTCCTCAGTGTTTTTAACACTTTCACTAGATTCCATAGTTTCATTCTCAGTTTGCTCAACAACGTTTTTATTAATTTCGTCAACGTGTTCGTTATCAACTGGGGGTGACTGAAGTGTCACCTGTACATTTTCAGAAATTTCACTGTTCGACTGTGTTTCTGGTTCGATATTTGAAGATTGGTCTATTTTGGATTTTGTTTTAGACTTACCTTTACCTTTTTTCTCTTCCGGTTCGCGATCGCTGTCATGATTTTCTCGCTCTTTCTCCGTTTCCTCTTTAATTGGCGATACTCGCCCGCGAGTGCGTCTCGATCTTTTAGTAGATCCAGTATCCTCTTTTCGCTTCCGTCTAGGTTTGCCGTCCGTTATAGACTCGGTTTCCGACGCCTCGTTTTTCGAGTCGTTCTCGGACTCGTAGTCCGATCTAACTCTTTGCACTTTTTCAATATCACTATCGTCGCCTGATTCGTCTACCGACGCTTTTCTTGCCCGCAACGATCTACGAGATCTTGTGGGCGTCTCCTCTTTCGCCGGCTTTTCCGGGCTCTTTTTCACGTTACGTGTACTTTTTCGCCTCATCTGAAATGCAAAATATATCTACTTTAACTAGAGGTCCCTTAATTTACTACTTTAGTTTGACATTCTTAAGACTGTTATATCTAGCTAAACTTGGGGGTTGGTTTTTCAAGATCTCACTAAGTGTCAACAAAATCTAACCGTTTACCCCAAAAATAAATCACTAAACTACCTAATCATGATTTTGAAGTTTTTGCTTTAAAACGTTTTTCATCAACCTTGCTATAACGCACATTCTTATTCTTTAAAATGTCTCGGCCTTTACCTCATTTTATTAAAACTACACAAATGGCCAGCAATTATGTTTAAAACACTCAAAATTAACAAACAAATATTTTTTAGGTTAGACTAATCAATTGCAGCGCCATTACTCAACGCCGCTTACGCCTTGTTACTATTTCTGATATATATTCAACAAAATAAACCCTATTCCAATAAAATTAACACTTACCCTAAACTAATAATCACTTTAGACTAATCTTTACTTCAATATTACTTGTAATTATTACAAAACCAATGTAATTTTTCATGAAAATTAGTGACATAAACGCATTACTTGACATGCGTCAACCACAGACAACAAATAGATTCAACATAAATGAAATATAATTTTGCAAGCGCCCTCTGTTATGGAGTAATATTTTAACCTAAAATAGAATTATTTCAAAATTTATTACCATTATTGGTTAATTTTAAGGTGATATTTAATAGAATAAATAAGACATATTGTCCATTGCTTGTTTAAATGGATTTACTAAATAAATTGAAGTGAGATAGAATACGTAGAATAGTTTAAAAAATCTGCGAGTAGTCGATCTATTTTTAAATGTTAACACCAACATTAAACAAATATATGACACTAAATTAGCTAACAATTCTAAATTAGATATTTTTAATTGTTTAAAAATATTTATTAATTTTGTTATGATTTTAAATGAAAATTATAAGGTAAAAATAACCTTAAAGGCTTTTTATTTATGAACTTTCCTAATTATGTTTTTTTCTTGTGGTTGGTATAATGTTAATGAAATGTCACATAGACGAGTATGCGCACTTTTTCTATGTGTCAAACCATGAAAAATACTTAATTCTTTATATTTTCTATAAAAATCGAAAACACATCAGAAAGATAATCGAGCATTAGAATAGCAGTTATTGCAAAAAAAGTTAAGTGCTGAAAACCGGTGTGAAAAAACGTTTACTTTTAATTTTTGTTTATCAGTGATTGTTGGTGACGTTTCCCTTTCTACGTGTATTTTTTAATAAAATTCGATTTACCGTCGTGGGACCGTGAAATTGGGGTTTATGTAGTAGTTAAACCAAAAATGAAGACGTTTATCGTTTATTTTTCTTTATCCCTGTTAATTTTCAACTGCAAAGCTTTTTACTTACCAGGCCTTGCCCCTGTAAATTATTGCAGAGAAGAAGACGAATCCAGCAAATGCAAGGTAAATATTCAATAACAATAAGTAATTAACCTTTTGCTTTACCTTGAATGCTTTTAACCCTTTCAATTCAGGCAGTGATGTCAAATCGATGATTCAGATTTTATTGAATTAATTAATAAAAACATTTTTTAGGGGATTTTCTTAGTAAAAAGTTATTTGTTTCTTATTATTATACCTATAATTATAATTATACCTACCTATAATTACCATAATAATATTTCTCACACAATTTTCCAGAAAAAAGGCCAAATTCCTTAAAAATTATTATAATGTTTAGAATTTAGTTCTCATTTAAGTTCTATTTAAGTAATGTTAAAAATTAAACACAAATAACTAATATTTTGAAACTGTCCAGTAATTATTTTTTTACTTTTAGAAAACTGTTGAACTATTTGTAAACAGACTAAACAGTGAAGAATCTGTTATTCCCTATGAGTACAGCCATTTTGACTTTTGTCTCCCTGAAGACGATGAAAAGTCCCCAGTGGAAAATTTGGGCCAGGTAGTGTTTGGAGAGAGAATTAGACCGTCCCCGTATAAAATAGACTTTATGAAAAATGTCACATGCCAAGAGGTGTGCACAAAGAAATATGACAAAAAGAAGAACAACCTCTTGAGCATATTGAGAAAAAGTATAAGTTTGAACTATCATCACCATTGGATCATGGATAACATGCCCATAACCCATTGCTATCAGACTGAAGACGGAAAGCAGTATTGCAATACTGGTTTTCAGATGGGTTGTTACACCAAAAATGACAGGGCCAATTGTATTGATCGTGGTAATGGAGAGGAAGCTTATTATGTATACAATCATGTTGATTTAAACATAACCTATCATTCTGGAGCAAAGGAAGAATGGGGTACCAGTTTCAAGGAGAATGGGGGCAGAATTATATCTGTTAAAGTTATACCCAGAACAATTGATTATAAGGGGTATGTTAACTAAATTTTATTTGTTTCTATTTTAATTTCATAATTTCTGCAAATATTAATTTTTCCAACTATTTGATTTTGTGCAAAAAAAATGCATCTTTTAATATTTTTTTTAGAAAACCCTGTCAGATCTCCAACACAGAACCATTAAAACTTCCTTTGAAAGACCTCACAAAAGACCAAACATACCAAATAACATATACATATTCAGTGACTTTTGTGCAAAATAATAATGTAAAATGGTCTTCGAGATGGGATTACATATTGGAGTCTATGCCCCACACAAATATTCAGTGGTTTAGCATTTTGAATTCCCTTGTTATTGTCCTATTTTTAACTGGCATGCTGGCCATGATTTTGTTGAGGACTTTGCACAAGGATATTGCTAGGTACAACCAAATTGATAATGGAGAAGATGCTCAGGTAATAAAGCAAATAGTGTGTAATGGATTATGTCTAGATTTGAAATCAAGGTTTTTGTGTTTATTTTGTAATGCCTGATAAAATGTTATCATATTGTAATAAAACCAACCAGAAACTTATAAAACAAATTATCTGATTTAAAAGTTTGGCAAATAATTTTATGGTATTAAAAATAAAAAATTATATTTTTTATTATAAATAATTAATTTTTTAATGGTTATTGCTACTAAAATTGTATTGCTTATTTCTATAACATCAATTAGAGACAGTTGATGGTTTAATTTAATAAGCCATAACAATTTTTAAAGAAAATCAATTTTCAATTGAAATTTATTTCAGTAACACAATACCAAACCTATAGGAAACCTATTGGATTTTAAAATCTAATCATAAAACTTAGTGAAAGTATTATTTTGAATTGTTAAACAATCATTGTGGCATGATTTTTGTTTAGCAAATTGGTGGCATTTTTTTCTGAAAAAAATGCTAAAAACAATGAAACGTCGGTTTTCCGAAATATTAATTAATTATTAAATATTTAAACATTTTCCAATAATATTATCATTTTAAGTTCAATCAGATTTTAATCGGAAAATTTTTATAGTCAATAGAACTCGCAAAAATTAGAAAAAAGTTTAAATCAGCATGTATATTTTAAAACTTTTTTATTAGTTAAATCGCAATCCGTTTGTTGGTATGGTAAATTTTTGGGTGATGTTAAATAGGTATATTTTAACAAAAGAGGAGCAAAATGGTTGTCCTTGGCACTTTAAGTGCCTCTGTAAGAAACACAAAGTTTAAAATGATTTTTAATGTGTAAACAGCACAAACCCAAGTACAAGAATTAGATAAATAAAAATGGCCGCCGTTAAAGTCTGTGAAGAGGGTTACCTAACTTCGTGATTTTAGTATGAAACAAGATACAACAGAACTTGTTGTGTGGATTGTGAGTTTGATATTATATTTGGATTTAGCAATTAAACACAAAGTCATAACTTTTTGGTCTCCAGCATTTGTTCTCTATTTAACTTAATTTTCAAGATAAAAAATTGTTTATCCACTCATGACAATAATTTTTTCAGGGGCGAATTTATTTTTTTCCTACAAATTATCAAGAATCTAAAAAAAATATTAAACTTATTGGGAATAGCTAAATTAAATTTATTAACATTACTAAAAATTTTAAAAGTCGGCCCAGAGAATTTTTTAAAAATTTTAACTACCACCCTGTTTATTGAAAACGAAGCTTCAAAACAAACAAGTTTATATAAACTTTTATTCTTAATTTTGCGAGTTCTATTGACTATACAATTTTTCCTGTTTAACATTAAAAACAAAACAAAAAATGTACCACACTATTAATACAGTTCCTCAAAATATGTTTTTTCATATTAAAATAATGTATAGGAAAACCTGAATAAATGTACAATATAGGACTTATTATTCCTATGATTTTTGTGCAATCGCGATGGTCAACAATAAATGACCAAATTTAGCTCAATAACATGCAAAAGCAGTTTGGATTAAGTGGTAGCTTACCATTGGTTTAATTTTAGGAATGTTTGGGCATGGACAAATGATGACAAATTTGTTATGTTTATTTGGCAAATATCAGGCTTTTGAAAAATTGACCAAAGCCATCAAATTGCTAAATATTTGAACAAATCGAGAGTATTAACAAATATTATAATTATATTTAAAAGAATTTTACTAAAAAAAATATGTTTTAACCCTCTTCTCGTTTTCATTAAAATCTATTAATAAAGTATTTGAAAATTGGGTAAATAAAACGCTTTTTATGATTAAAATTAAAGAAAAACTGTTTACAACCCGGACAACAATCGGGATTTCCTGGTGAAATCATGATGATATCACAACGTGATTTTTTTTGTCACGCCGTGATATCCTGAGTGCATACACATGCTTCATCACAGTGATATCATGTAGAACTCACGGTGTGATTTTTGCAAAATTTGCGCATGCGTAATAGCCCTGCGAACTGCGAATTTAAAACCTAGTTTGTTACCTGTTGATTCAACATAACTTTTCTCTTAGTGTACGAACGTGGCGCAAAAATCATTATCAAAACACCGTTGGCATAAAAAATCACGACATGATTTTTTATGCTATCGGTGTTTGGGCATAAAAAATCACGACATGATTTTTTATGCCATCGGACATGTTAGGATATTTATTTTTGCGCCACATTCGTACATTGTGAGAAAAAGTATGTTAACAATTGAATTAACAGTTTTTGCGGTTAAATACATTTAATATTTTCTTGGATGTAAATTAACTATTAATTTAATTCCAAAAAATTATTGAATGTATTTAACCACAAAAACTGTTGATTCAATATAATATTTTGAATATATATTATATGTAAGTATACTTTTTCCCCTAATGTGGTGCAAAAATAAATATCCAAACACCGATGGCATAAAACATCACGACATGATTTTTTATGCTATCGTTGCTTGGGCATAAAAAATCACGACATGATTTTTTATGCCATCGGACATCTTTGGATTTTTATTTTTGCGCCACATTCGTACAGTGAGAGAAAAAGTATGTTAACAATTGAATTAACAGTTTTTGCGGTTAAATACATTTAATATTTTTTTGAATGTAAATTAACTATTAATTTAAATCCAAAAAAATATTGAATGTTTTTATTTAACCACAAAAACTGTTGATTCAATATATATGTAGGTATTCTTTTTCTCTCAATGTACGAATGTGGCGCAAAAATAAATATCCAAACACCGATAGCATAAAAAATCACGACATGATTTTTTATGCTATCGGTGTTTGGGCATAAAAAATCACGACATGATTTTTTTATGCCATCGGTGCACCGACATCTTTGGATATTTATTTTTGCACCACATTCGTACATTGAAAGAAAAAATATGTTAACACTTGAATGAACAGTTTTTGCGGTTAAATACATTTAATATTTTCTTGAATGTAATTTAACTATTAATTTAAATTCAAACAAATATTGAATGTTTTTATTTAATCACAAAAACTGTTGATTCAATATATATGTAGGTATTCTTTTTCTCTCAATGTACGAATGTGGCGCAAAAATAAACGTCCAAACACCGATGGCATAAAAAATCACGACATGATTTTTTATGCCATCGGTGTTTGGATATTCATTTTTGCGACACATTCGTACATTGAAAGAAAAAGTATGTTAACAATTAAATTAACAGTTTAACATTCAATACTTTCTTGGATTTAAATTAAATATATATATATATATATATATATATATATATATATATATATATTTAATTTAAATCCAAGAAAGTATTGAACTATATAGTTAATTTAAATCCAAGAAAATATTAAATGTATTTAACCGCAAAAACTGTTGATTCAACATAATTTTTCTCTTAGTGTACGAACGTGGCGCAAAAATGATTATCCAAACACTGTTGGCATAAAAAATCACGACATGATTTTTTGTGCCATCGGTCAATCGCAAACAGCGATGGCATAAAAAATCACGACATGATTTTTATTTCTCACGCTGTGACATCCGGATGATGTCCGTATGAATAAAATTTGTGAAAATCACGTCGTGACGTTCGTATGATTTTCATTTATCACGCGGTGACTTCCGTATGATATCAGTATGAATAAAATTTGTGAAAATCACGACGTGATGTTCGTATGATTATCACGAATGTTGTCCGGGAAATACAGCCACAGAAAACATTTAAAAAATGTATTTAAATTTTTTAATTATAATTTAAATAAAAATTTGTTAAAAATATAACAAGAAGAAATAAAAAATATTTTAAATAATAAATATTGAAAAAAAAATTGTTCTATAATATAAAGAATAGGTATATAATATATGTATATTATAAAGAATTATGTTTTTTAATTTGTTTTCTAAAATAAGGCTTTTTTTATTTCTGGCCACGTCAAAGGACCTCTCAAACTCAGGAGGAGGAAATCTGTTGTGTTCATGTAGAAAATGTATTTCTATATTATCCTGCTTGTAGTATGCCTTGTACGCATAATCACTATTTACCTATAAAAAGGCATTTTTTTTCTCCACTGCAACGAGATAAAAATCTATAACAATAAACAAAAAATAAGTACATAGAACCACCAATGTAAATTTATATTACTTCAAAATTAACGACGGAATAAAAATATTCGAAAAGTAACATAATTGAAAAACTTGAGAACATAACCTTACTTACTCAAAATTTAAACCTGTTTAAAACTTAATACACGTTTAGTTGGCGGATGATTATAATTTTTTTAAATTAAAAATTATCGACTTACATGTAAAGTTATAAATTTTGAGTTTAACCTTTGTAAATTTTTGTTAAATCATCATTAAAGTGCTAAACTTTAATCTTCAAGCAATAAATGCTGACTGAAAGTTGACTAATTTCCTTCCCAAACCTTGGTCAACTGGGTTTAAAAAAAGGTTAATAATTAACATAAAAATTCCGCAAATTGAAGAGCTAAAGTAAACTCTTTTAAATTCCAGGAAGAGTTCGGATGGAAACTCGTCCACGGAGACGTCTTCAGGCCGCCTCGTAAAGGCATGCTGCTCTCCGTTCTGCTGGGTTCCGGCGTACAGGTGCTCTGCATGACGCTGGTTACGCTGGCGTTCGCGTGCCTCGGGTTCCTCAGTCCGGCCAACAGGGGCGCTCTCATGACCTGCGCGATCGTGCTGTACGTCTTGCTAGGATCGCCTGCGGGATACGTCAGCGCCAGGATCTACAAGAGCTTCGGAGGAGAGAAGTGGAAGTCAAACGTTTTGTTGACTTCCATGTTGAGTTCTGGGTAAGTACAAGGATGAATAAATGCAAGGTTTGATTGATAATAATATCTAAAAGATCCCCAAAAAAATTATATTAATTTTATAATAAATAACCGAATTACTAACTTATAAAAAAATATTAAAAAGAAAATAAAATCATATTTGTGGAAATATGAATTAACTAATTCTATTCAAACAGTAAAAAGACCTTTTAAAAAACATAGTAAACATAAAAAATCTTAAAAATAAAAAAAATGTGGAAATATGTAAGGATAGTATTGGAGGTACTTGAAATTTACATTTCGTCACCTGAGAATTATAGTGTTCTATCTGCATTTTCTTTTTTTATTCAGGTTAGTCTTGTTTTAAGTCTTAAAGATGATATTGATCTATCTATATATAATTGGGGTAGAAATTGTAAAGTTTAAGGCTTAAACTGTACAATTTCTACCCCAATTATATATAGATAGAACAATATGCATCTTTAATACTTAAAACAAGACTAACCTGAATAAAAAAAAGAAAATGCAGATAGAACACTATAATTCTCAGGTGACGATTTATTTAAAAAATCTTTAGATAATTAAAAAAAGTCAATTCCTAAGTAAATTAGTCCGCTGAATCCGAAAATTCCGTTTATTTATTTACCTTTAATTTTGTATAAAAAAATTAAAGTATAATATATAAAATATTTGAATATTTGAAATTACCAAATAGTTTTAAATATTATCTGAAAAATTAACTATAATTTAAAAACTATTATACATTTATAACTTTTGACAATTTCTGATTCAGTGGACAATTTTACGTAGACATTGACTTTTAAATGTACAGCATATGATTTTTATTTTTATTTGTTAACCAGTGTCATTAAAAATATAAATTCATATAGCTTATTTTATAATAAAATATTATCTAAAGAGATATAGCAGGCAATTATTCACAAAGCCTAGGTTAGGCGGTTATAATGGTTATCATTATAATGATTATATACGAAAAAACAATATTATGCAATAGGAGTAAACACGTAATGTTTCTACTCTTATTTAGTGTTTTAAAGTGTCAAAAAAAAACGGACAAATTTGGGAAAAACTGTTTTTTCCCAGGCCTTGGAAGAATTGATTTTTTTATGAAAATATACAAGGCAATCAACAACTTAAAATTATTTGAATTAAAAAAAAATATCCTTAAGGATAATACATTTTTACAAAAAAAATCAAATAAAGTTAAGAAAATAAACGTAAACATTGAAAATATCCATTTACAAAATAATTAATGATTTATAATGTTAAATTACATAATTATAATTTTATAAATCAATGAGTCAAATAAAACGTAATACTATATAAAGGGTGTCCCATTAAGACCGCCTATTTTAAATTTAGTGTCATTTTTTTTGTGTCAATCGTACAGCGTTGTTGTTGGACAGTGGTCATGTGTGAACATTAAGGTTAAGTCATGGAGATTTACACGGAAGCACAACGCATAGAAATTGTAAAAATCCACAGTAGAAATGGTGAGAATTTTTCGGAAACGGTTTGAGGATATCGTGGATTTTTTGGTCACCATAACGCACCTTCTCGCCGTACTGTGGTCCGATTATAATCGTGCAATTTGAAACGATTGGGTCAATTCAAACCAAAAAGAGACATATCCATGTTCGTGCAGCTCGGTCTGCTGAAAATATTGCAGCAGTTAGTGAAAGTGTTGAACATAATTCTTCCACCTCGATTCGCCACCGTTCCCAGCAATTGAGACTATCTCGAAGCAGTTTACAGCGAATTTTGGCCAAAGACCTGCATTTTCATGCGTACAAGATTCGGTTGAAACAATATTTAAAGACAGCAGACCATGCACAGCAACGAAACCATGGAATTATTGAGGACAAAATTTGAAGGCAGTTATCTCGCGCCGCGAGGATGTGATGTGGCCAGGCCGATCATGCGATTTGACGCCGTTAGATTTCTTTTTTTGGGTTTTTTTGAAGGAAAAGCTTTATGCTAATAACCCAAGAACAGTTTCTAAACTAAAACATGAGATTCGACGGGTCATTGATGAAATTGAGCCGGCACTATGCCAAAATTTAATCGAAAATTTTGTCAAAAGAATCAACGTGTGCCGTCAGACACGAGGCGGCCATTTATCGGATATTGTCTTCCCTCTTTATTGCAATAAAAATATCTTAACTTTTTAAATAAACACGGCATTTTTTTTAAATTTTAAAATAGGCGGTCTTAATGGGACACCCTTTACTATAATGTTTATACAGCACCGAATTTGTTTTTTTGCGACCCGGTAGAAGATTCTTACTGAATTATAATAATAGGAATAATTATTATAATAATGTTTTATATGGTTATAATCAAAGTCGAAAATTCACTTCTTGATATCAGTGTACAGATATTTGAAAATTTTCAGAAAAATTACTTTTTTATTACCCTTTAAATAAAATAAAAGCATACAAAAGTCAATTTTTCTAAAGATTTCCCAATTTTTCATTTTATTCTCATAAAAAACGGTTTTTTTGCCGGCTCAATTTTTTCGGAATTTTTATATATAAAAATATATATAAATATAAATATATATGTATATATAAAATGACTTAGGTATAAATATTAAATATTGCAGATAAGGCATTTTCTCTTAACATGGCAACTGCACTTAGAATCTTGTCATTCTAAGTTACCGTATTATTGACATTATTTGGATTTTCGCTATATAATGGTAACCATTATACCTAACAATGGGAATAATGAACCCATTATTTACGCAGTGATTTGAACCAATTGGGAAAATAGTAATGTTGGAGCTGTCTCACAGATGTCAATTTTTTTTTTTTAATACGAGGGATTGCTATCTTTAAAATCGGGAAAAGTGAGGTTAAAATAAATTGTGTTATTATTATTCTATTAAGTTCATACTTCAAGTCATTTTTATTTGACATTTTATCGCCTCCGACAACTTTTCGAGCAACTTTCAAAAAGCTTTTTTTACCAGCGATATTTGCTTAACGCTGCCAACTGTTAATGCTATTTTAATAACAGCTATTTTAAACTGCTACTGCGATCGCGACTTTTAATATTTGTCACGATTGCTAACTTGTAAACAATTGGCAATATTTTTCTCACTAATTTTTAGCAATCTGAAGTCTGTCAGATGGGTTTAACCTCACTTTTTCTCAATTCGACATCTGTCAAACGGATTTAACCTCACTTTTTTATAATGCCCTTAAAACTCTAGATTAAATGTAGGAGTAAATAAAAACCTTAAATTTAATTGTTTCAGAATCGTATTTGGGCTCTTCTTTGTAATGAATCTTGTGTTATGGGGCAAAGGTAGCTCAGCTGCAATACCATTCACAACCCTTTTAGGTCTCTTAGCACTTTGGCTTTTGGTATCAGTACCTCTGACGTTCGTGGGAGCCTTATTCGGCTTTAGAAAAAGAGTAAATATATTATTGATTATATTTGTGCAATTTATTAAATAATGTTTGTAACTTTTAGGCTTTAGAACACCCAGTAAGAACAAACCAAATACCCAGACTTATTCCGGAGCAATCGATTTACACGCAGCCGATCCCAGGAATAATAATGGGCGGAGTTTTACCGTTTGGATGCATCTTCATCCAACTCTTCTTCATCCTGAATTCGATTTGGTCCTACCAAATGTACTACATGTTCGGGTTTCTGTTCCTGGTTTTCATCATCCTCGTCATCACCTGCGCGGAAACCACGATTCTGCTCTGCTATTTCCACCTCTGCGCGGAGGACTACCACTGGTGGTGGAGATCGTACCTCACTTCCGGCTTCACCTCCGTTTATTTGTTCATGTATTGCTGCCACTACTTCTACACCAAGCTTCAAATCGAGGACGCCGCTTCGGCCTTCCTCTACTTCGGCTACACCCTCATCATGGTGTTTTTGTTCAACCTCTTGACCGGCACAATCGGCTTCTTCGCCTGCTTCTGGTTCATCAGGAAGATCTACAGTGTCGTCAAAGTGGATTAAATGCGCTATCGCACACCTAACATAATCCTTTTGTATATACTATAAGTCACCTGTATTATAATGGATATTATAATGCATTAATATAACCAAATTATTGGTAGATTTAATGATTTTTTTTTAAATTGAAGCCAGTGTTCTCTCCAAATGAGTTTATTTTATTCGGGCAGTCCTTTGTAAACAAATACGTACTGATTGGGGTGTTATTTTTTGTTTTTCACCGAAACTCCAACATATTGTTCATAGCATCGAAAAAAACTCCCTCAACGTTTGAGCCCTTAATTTTGATTTGCTTCCTTTTTCATTTTAAATTTTTCCCATTTAAAAACTATGAATTTTCAATCACTTTTTTTTAAATGTCTTTATCTTTGCAGAGTTTTAAGCTATCATATTGTGGTTCATTCTTACTTACAGAGTATTTAAAAATTTTTAAAAGAGACTATAAGAATTTTTCTCTAGCTCAATTCACCTTCATTTTTTTTTTTTTACTTTTTTCACATATTTTTGAAAATATTAAGAGAATTGCTTGTCTTGCCAAAAAATTTTAAAAGAAAAAGTTGTAGAAAATTTAGTTCTCTACAAAAAACTTTTATGTTTATATCGCTAAAATGCACAGTTTACAAGATATTTAATAGTCATGGAATCGCATTTAAGACAAATTAATCTCAAGAAAACAAATTTTTCAAATTTTTAAATATTAAACGGCTCATATCTTGTAAACTGTGCACTTTAGCAATATACGTAAAGGTACGGACTTTTTTGTAGAGAATTAAATTTTCTACAACATTTTCCAAGCCATTCTCGTAATGTTTTTAAAAATATGTAAAAAAAGTAAAAAAAAAAATGACTTTCATAACTGATATTATCAAGGTGAATCAAGTTACAGAAAAATTCTTAAAGGCTCTTTTAAAAAGCGTTAAATACTCTGTAAGTAACAATGAACCACAACATGATAGCTTAAAACCCGACAAAGATAGAAATTTTAAAAAACATGCTTATCAAATTGAAAAAATTCAAAATGAAAAAGAAATCAAAATTAAGGGCTCAAACTTTTTTTCGATGTTTTGAACAATATTTTGGAGTTTCGGTGAAAAACAAAAAATAGTCGTTTTAAATGAAACGCCCTAGTGCTGATTATTCATTTTATTGAATATTTAAGTATTTTTCACATGTGGAAACGATAAGTATTGTGTGATTTAATTGTAAAATAGTAGAATAAATTTTATTGTGAATTATTTGTTTTTTCAGTTGGATGTGTATTGTAATCAAAAATTACTTTTGACAATAAACATTGCACAATCAATATTAATTAATTTAATTAAAATTACAAATGTACTTATTTTTAATTTATATAAATACACATTTTTATTCATGTTTTTTTTAAATCAACAACCATAATTCCTTACTTAAAAACACGCAATAACTGATTTAGAAAGGACAACAACGAATTAATTAATTTATTTAATCCAAGAAAAATTAAAAAATACACGCTATTAATAAACCGTGTTTTCCGGAAACAATAACAAAAATAAAAACATAAATCTCAAAAAGTAAATGTATACAGAAAACGCAGTTTCATAATCATTAATCTATAAACCACAACATAATAGTTTAATTAGAAAGATGAATTTATTTTTAAATGCTGCTTTATAATTTTACATTTTTCTCAATAAATATGGATTTCTTTATAAAGGTATGTAATTTTATTCCGCTGCGGGGTTTCTTGGAATTTGCGACTTTGGTTTCCATAGAAAATTATTTTTATAGAAAGTCAAATTACAAGATTTAACAAAAAGCTGTCACGGCTAACGACACCGTGGTTATATTTGAGGTTTTAAAATTTTATTATAAAACTTTTAATAAATACTTAATGATTTTGTTAAAATAGCTCCCAGAAGATTAATTCAAAAGTAAATCTATTGCTGTAGAACAATATTCGTGGGGATTAAAAAAATAATAATAATTAATCAAATTAATAATCTTAAAATCCAAATCCTTACTAATATGGCGCAGATAACTGCTCACCACTTTGAATAAAAAAGGTTTTTTATTCAAAGGCTCACCATTGCTAACTTCGTTATTATTGGAGCCACAAAGTAGGTTAAATTAGCAAAATGGTGGAATTTTTCTTCTCATTAAAAAGGTAAAAACACAAAAAAACAATTGGACGTCGGGTTTCCGAAATATTCACAAAAATAACCTTTGATATGTTATTGAAAAATTGTTTTCTATGCTGTTATTTTTTTAAAAATAAATAATCTTAAAAATCAATTTTAAAACTTTTGAGTTTTAAATTAAATACATTTTAAATTAATTAAATTAAATTTCACAAAAAACCTTTAATATGTTATTGTTCTCTATTCTTTTAATTTTTATGAATAAATAATCATAAAAATCAATTTTAAAACTTTTAAGGTTTAAATTAAATAAATTAAATTTCACAAAAATAACGTTTGATTGTTATTGAAAAATTGTTTTCTATGCTTTTATTTTTTTTTATAAATAAATAATCTTATAAATCCATTTTAAAACGTTTGAGTTTTAAATTAAATAAATTTTAAATTAATTAATTTAAATAACCTTTGATATGTTATTGACAAATTGTTTTCTGTGCTTTTAATTTTTATAAAAATCAATTTGAAAACTTAAGTTTAAAATTAAATAAATTTTAAATTAATTAAATTGGCAGACAGTTTCAGCGCCACTTTTTTAATTTTAATTTAAAGCAGACTTCAGCCCGTGAGCAAAATGCAATTTTGCCCACACGCGCAATTTTTACCCTGTACAGCTATGATGTTTTAAATACGCCCCTGTCTAATTGAAAAAACTTAATTTTAATTCAATCCATTTAATAATGAAGGTCACCAAATATACAGATACATAATGATAATAATACAAAACTGATAAGGTGATTGAGCCATTAAACTCATTAGTTTAGCAACTTGTTTCTATCATAAATAACAGTGCCTTAAATTAAAGATGATGTGGCGGGTGCTATTCGTTGTAAGGTAAGCGTTTTCCATACAAAAAAAATCAAAAAAAACTAACGCAAACATTTAAGCGGTCCCCAAGGAGGGGTGCTACAAACAGCCAAACGACTGAAGAGCACAGTGAGAAAAATTGACAAGTTGCTTATAGCAAACAGAGGTGAAATCGCCTGTAGAGTAATAAGAACCGCCAAGAGGTTAGGAATAAGAACCGTAGCAGTATACAGCGAGGCCGATGAGCGTTCCCTACATGTGTCTATGGTAAACAAATTTAAATGGTCAGGACCGGACCCAAAAGTTAAACTACTACTAACGTTGAGTATTTAAACGGTTTAATAATTTCTAAATAATTTTTATCGAGTTTTTAACATTTAATTAAAAATTCTATTGTCAACAATTTCGTACAGCATACACAACATTTAAATTTTTATGTTTTAGTTATAAGAACCCAAGTAGCACAACTTGTTAAATTAACCTTAAATTAAAGTTATTGTGTAATAAGTGGGGAATTAAATTATGGTATACCATTCTATAGAATTAACATTATGTTAAAAGTTAAATTTAACTTCTGGGTTATGGTTAAAAGAAGGTAATATTTGGTAATTTTTTTTTCTGACAAAGTTGTACATAATCCTTTCATATTTTAAATGCGCTTTGAAAAAAATATGTTTGCCTATTTTTGCTTTATTTCGTTTGAAATTGGTTTAATAGCTATTTACATACCATGGGAGGAAAATATTGCATTTCCTCCCGCGAATAGTTTGATGCCCGACGCGAAGCGAAGGGCATTAAATATTTAAGGGAGGAAATGCATTTTCCTCCTGAGGTATGTACCTATATAGTTTTTTCTATTACCTTTTAACGGTTTTAAGACATTTTAAGCGTTCCGGTTCCTTTTACTTACCCGGTATGGGTCTATAAAATTATGACAAAATATTAAGTAGGTTTTGCGTCGCCGACGTTATGTTGACAACGCTTTGTTGCTATGGTATTTTTGGTAATACCAACATAACAGTTTTTATAAGCTGTCATAATGTTTATCATAAATTTAATAGTTGCAATTAATTTCCTTCCTTAAAAATCTAAAATAGTGAATATGAATATAGTTTGTTAAAAGAATGTTAAAAGAATGGTTGGACAAGCGCGGAGTAAATCTTTTTCCTACAAAATCAAATAAGGCTAGACAAGGTACAAAAACTCTTGCCAATGTAAAATTTAAAAAAAAAGAGGGAGGAAATTTTTTTTCCTCCCGGGGAGGAAAAGAGGCATTTTCCTCCCTCGTTCGGGGGTGGAAAAATAAGTTTTCTAGTAAGGTAGTAGAAAAAATACTTTTTAACATAACATAATAGTATGTTTTATTATGGGTTTATTTAAAATACCTTATTTTTTGTAATAAAGCAAATTATTAAAATTGCCTTTTAGATTCGACAGCAAACAATATATGGCGATTTTAGGATGCTTTTACTTATTGGTTATATAACCAATATAAATTAACCTGCATGCAAGTTTATTTAAACCATTTGGTTATTTTATTGTGTTTAATTTAAATACTTTATTTACCCATCGGTAATTTATAACTTTGATTTTGGTTTAAATTCGGTTAAACACATTACAGTTAATAATTACCTAAATTGGTTAAATTTAACCAACTTGTTATTTTTAAAATAACTACCTAATCCAGTGGCGGCTGGTGGATTTTGGGTATGCCAATATTTCAGTGATTAGACATGGGACCCACACCAAATTTATAATAGTTTATAATGACCTTAAATAAACAAGTTCGGCGCAAACAGAATTTAAATTAAAGTTTGCGAAATAAAGTTAGTTTTTCCTGTCGCCTCACCCGCCTCCAGGCTCCCCTATTTAATATAATTTAAATTAAAGTGGTGCAATTTATTATCTACTATAATTTATCGACAAATATAAAATTTTATTTAAAAAATCCAAATATTACAGGTTTTATACCATTTTAAATATTTTTTTATTTAAATAAAATAAATAATAAAAATTTAAAATCGAATAAAATCTGTAATATTTGGATTTTTTAAATAAAATTTTAAATTTTTCGATAAATTATAGGAGAAAATAAATTGCACCACTATCTCAAATAGGGGGGCCTGGAGGCGGGTGAGGCGACAGGAAAAACTATCTTTTTTTCACAAACTTCAATTTAAATTCTGTTTGCGCCGAACTTGTTTATTTAAGGTCATTATAAACTATTATAAATTTGGTGTGGGTCCCATGTCTAATAACTGAGATATTGGTATACATAAAATCCACCAGCCGCCCCTAACTTAAAAAAAATCCCGCCGATCTAACGTTATGATTTTGGTTGAGCCTTGCTTTTTTTTTATAAAACGTATCTATTCTGTTATAAAACCTATAGATGCTCACCAAATTAATTAAACGTCAGGGGACTGTTTTAAGATATGTAGATAAATAATGATTTACAACTTTGTTAACTCTTCTATAGTAAGCTAAAGAAAGTATATATATATATATATATTTTTTTAAATTATTTCTTTTAGGCTCCATTATCACACAAAATTCACAACCTATAGGTTTATATATTGGGACCTATTTTGCAGGTAACAATGAAAACTGCAAAACCATCACTTTTTCTAACCAGTTTATTAATTAATGTTTATTTATTAGCGAGTTAAAATATATTTGGTAAAATATAACTTTCCGATTAAAAAAAAATTATCCAAATTAATAAAAAAGTAATATAAAAGTTAAACTAAACCAAAATATGTCTAAAACTGTCAAAAAATGGCGCAGTTAAATTTGTCTCCTAATATTTTCTTTTAGGCTGACGAAGCCTATAAAATAGGTCCACCCCCTGTTTCACTGAGTTATTTGAGAGGGGAAAAATTACTGGAGGTGGCAAAAATCTCAAAATGTCAAGCCATACACCCGGGTTATGGATTTTTATCGGAGAACGTTGAATTTGCGGAAAATTGCCAAAATAGCGATGTAATTTTTATTGGACCTCCTGCTTCTGCTATCAGAGACATGGGAATTAAAAGGTACCTATATTAAAATCTCATGAAAATTTCTTACGATAATCACAGCTGTATTTTAGCACATCAAAACATATAATGTCAAAAGCTGGGGTCCCGATAATAGAAGGTTACCACGGTGAAGATCAGAGCATGGAAAAACTCAAATCGGAGGCTGAAAGAATCGGTTTTCCAGTCATGATTAAAGCTGTCAGAGGTGGCGGTGGAAAAGGCATGCGTGTAGCAAACACAGCCAAAGACTTCGAGGAAGCCCTGGAGTCGGCAAAAACAGAATCTCAGAAAGCATTTGGTGACCAGGTTGTGCTATTGGAAAAATTCGTAGGGGAACCCAGGCATGTCGAAGTGCAAGTTTTTGCCGATAAGCATGGCAACGCCGTGCATTTGTATGAAAGGGATTGTTCTGTTCAAAGAAGGCATCAGAAGATTATAGAGGAAGCACCAGCGGTAAGTTCTACCATATGGTATACCATATGGTATGCTTCTGAAATATACCAGAAAAGTACTAAAAAAGTACTACATAAATGTTAACACCTTCCCAGAGAGCCATATCAGGTCAAACCTTGGCCAAGAATTGCCCTTTCACCTTTGAAGAAGTTTTGCCAATAAATGTACAATATAGGACTTATTATTCCTATAATTTTTGTGCACTCGCGATGGCCAACAATAAATGATCAAATTGTGCCCAATAATATGCAAAAGCAGGTTGGATTAAGTTAGGTAGGTTACCGTTGGTTTAATTTTGAGAATCTTTGGGCATGGAAAAACGATGATAAATTTTGTATGTTTATTTGGGCAAATATTAGGGTTTTGAAAAATTGACCAATGTCCTGTGGTCCATAAACCTTTAAATTTAAATTTGGTGCTATTTTAACCAAGATAAATTTAAATAATACACTAAAATTAATATTATAGTTTTAACTTATTTTATGTTTTACAAACCTATTGAGTTTTACAATTTTACTTCTTCGTATCTGAACGTAGAAATGTTAGTGGGATTTGTTTATGTCTGGGATTCTTGCTTTAGTAGCCCGAGTCTCGGCCGCCGCACTGTGGTTAGAAATCCCAAAAAGCTGGCCAAAACCCAAAAATCAAAATTTACCTTTCAGGGTAAATCTTAACAAAATATCGAATAGATGGTGTTAGTGTAGTAAAATCCAAAGGGACAGAGCATAAGATCGCCTTTTAGACTGTAGGTGTTCTTTCAAAGTTCGCCCTTTTAACGAGCACCTGTTACTCTGGCGTTCACTTTTATGCATCGCGGCAAGAAACGGAATTTTAACGTGTAAAAGTATTGTGAATAGATCGGAAAAAATGGAAGATGTTCCTGAAGGTATGTACATTATTTACAAATGTTTCATGAGTTTTTTAATTTTTTTAATTTGCGGAAAAACCTTTAAATTTGACATGTTTAAATTTCTGTATTTCCATACGGAGCATGAATAAATGCAACGAAATAGTAGTGATCCGGCGAGATCCGGAACAGTTGCAAACTGTTTCATGTGTAAAAAAGTATAAACAATTAAATGACGCAGACGGAACTTCCACCTTTGTCCACCTTTTAGTGAAAAAAATTATTTATTGCAATAGCGCAGAATGAAGTAAAGCTTGCGAGCGTCGAAAAACCGAGCTCGCTGGACGTAACAATAGAAAACCTGTAGTTTCTTAATCGAAATAGTATGTACTGGGTGTTCATTTTAAACATCATTTGATCTTCATCAATGGTGACGATTTTCAATGCATGTTCGGGTAATTTTTAAGTCCTTTATTAAAATCTTGAACATTAACGATTTTTCAAAATGTATTCAGGATTTACTTTCAGTTTTAAATTTAAACATGGAGATGGGTTTTTATTTTATTTTATTTATTATTAACAATTTGTTTCATGGATACTGTATGAAAGCCGCTTTTCTTTCTAGATTTTTTTTCTAAGAAACCCTTTAAACCCCCAAAAAAACCCTGACCTACTTTTTTTTTCAATAAAAATCATGAAACAACTCCGCCATTTTGTATCCGCCATTTTGTTGTTTAAAAAACTAATATTAAATTCGTATTCAGCAATTACGAGAACCCCCAAATTAGTATTTTTGCTTAAATGAAATCATTCCGCCATTTTGTATCCGCAATTTTGTTTTTTTAAAGAACTAACATCAGATTCGGAATCAGCGACCGAAAAAAACCCCGAACTATTATTTTCGTTTGAAAAAAAATCAAAAGTCATGAAACAACTCCGCCATTTTGTTTTTTAAAAACAAAATTCGTAATCAGCGACCCCAAAAACCCTGGTATAAGAAAATTTCACGCAAAATTACAACATTTTCGAGTTTTGGCCAGCTTTTTGGGATTTCCGACCACTGTGCGCCGAGAAGTTAAAAGATAGATTAGGAAATAGAATAAGGGCAGATACGTCTTGATCGACATATTAAAAAGTTTGTGATATATATGGGAAATTCCACGTGAATTCGACACGAAAAAACCCTTGCCATTTAGAAATTCCTCGGCAATTTTTCCATGGGTAACCTGACCCAAAATAAAAATTCAGTTTTAATTTTAGCACGGTTTATCAATTGTTTTTGGAGATATGATTTTTTAAATTTTAGAGCTTATAACGATTTTGCCAATATTTCATCGATCATAACTTTGGTTCCAAAATTTTATTTAAAAAATCCAAATATTACAGGTTTTATACCATTTGAAATATTTTTTTATTTTAATAAAATATGTAATAAAAATTTAAAATCGAATAAAATCTGTAATATTTGGATTTTTTTAATTAAATTTTAAATTTGTCGATAAATTATAGTAGATAATAAATTGCACCACTTTAATTTGAATTATCTTAAATAGGGGGGCCTGGAGGCGGGTGAGGCGACAGGAAAAACTAACTTTTTTTCGCAAACTTCAATTTAAATTCTGTTTGCGCCGAACTTGTCTATTTAATGTCATTATAAACTATTATAAATTTGGTGTGGGTCCCATGTCTAATCACTGAGATATTGGTATACCTACATAAAATCCACCAGCCGCCACTGGGGGTCACTTTTTACTAGAAAAAACTTCAAGGAATTTAAGTAGATTTTCATTTTTGTTATATCTTTTTTTAATTATAAATTTATAGCCCATCAAAGTTGATGAATTTTTTAGGATTTAAGTCCATTGAAAAAAGGCATTTTTTAATAATCTATAATATATAATAAATACCAGTCGATGAATTATATTAAAATTACTACCAAATTAAACATTAATATATAGCAGTTAAATAAATAAACCTAGGCGTTTACGATTTTAAATAGAGTTAAAAAGACTAAAATTTTACCCCAAAGACGACACAAAAGCCCATTATCCCAGATTAGCCCGGGCGATATTATGTTGAATTATATATCATCCTCTAGTAGAGTCTACTACTAAGTAGACAATGTTGCAAAATAAAAAAGCACATAAGTCACACAATGTTTTTCCTTGTTTAATTGTTATTGGCGATTTTGTAAGAAAAATTATAAGCTTGGACCTCTAAATTTCGATTAAATATACCTGCCGCGCACGGCTGGCTTAGAACGATAGTAGAGAATAATATATTATAATAATAATATAATAATATATTATAATAATAATATAATAATATAGTATTTTTAATGGGAATACATTTTCTTAAAATTTTACAAACTTTGGTAATGTAATAAATTAAATCCAATATAAATTTTAATAATAATAACAATAGGTATTATATTAGATAAAATCCCGGCATAAAATAGGTAGCTATAAAGTACGTTTAATTCGTCGTTAACAAATAAAGCTGGCGGACTTTCACACAAGCACTTTTTGTAGAGAAGGTCATGAAATATTAATTTACTGCAACGTACCTATAACTCGCTATTGCGCATAGAAAACTGAACCATGGTTCGAAAATTGGCAAAGCATTTGTAATTTTTAAAAATTGATATATTTTATGCCATTCATTTCCCAACGCGATAGCACAAAAACTGCATGAAAATAAATACTTAAGTAGAGTATTTTTGGCCAACGTTTGTAATGAAGATGCATCTTCATTACAAACGAAGTTGGCCAAAAATACTCTACTTAAGTCTTTATTTTCATGCAGTTTTTGTGCTATCGCGTTGGGAAATGAATGGCATAAAATATATAAATTTTTCGTCAAACTAGTTGGGAAAAAGTTCACTAATTTCTTTCCCAAACCATGGTTCTCTGGGTCGTGTTTAAAATGAATATTAGGAATATTTAAACCATGTTTTTTAGCCAGGTTTATCCGCAGATTTAAGGCACGAGTTGGGCGCTGCAGCTGTTAGGGCAGCTAAAGCTGTAGGATATGTGGGGGCTGGAACAGTTGAATTTATTTTGGATAAAAACACTCATAGTTTTCATTTTATGGAAATGAATACGAGGCTGCAAGTGGAACATCCTATAACTGAGATGATCACAGGTAACGTTCCCCAAATTCATGATTCATGAAAAACACCAAAATTACAAAAACCTAGGTACCGATTTGGTCGAATGGCAGATAAAGATAGCTTCAGGTGAAAAGCTTCCACTAAACCAAGAGGATATTCCCTTGAAAGGCCACGCTTTCGAAGCTAGAATATACGCGGAAGACCCTAGAGGGGGTTTCTTGCCAGGGGCTGGCCCCCTACGCCACTTAACCACCCCTAACCCTTCGGAAGACGTCAGAATAGAAACAGGTGTCAATCAGGGTGACGAAGTGTCGGTTTTCTACGACCCTATGATCGCAAAATTGGTTGTTTGGGGTGAGGATAGAAGTGAGGCCTTATCGAAGCTACAGGCGAAACTTTTAGAGTACAATGTAAGGTAAAATATGTGGGTCTTTCCATATCAAATTGACCACGCAAAAAGGGGTAGGTCGTTATTTTTCAAATAAATTTTTTTACAGTTTCTCTACCGAAATCGATGAGACCCGTATTTTTTTCTTTTTGCTTAAATTTGTTTTGTTCACCCGTAGGCAATTTTTGAAAAATGGACAGAAACATCGATTTAAATCGATATCGATTTTTGTCTTTTTACGAGGCATTTTTTCTTGAAAATACGATAACTTACTAGGAACAAAAAAATATAAAAAATTAAGTGAATTTACTGAATTTTATTTTATTTGAAGTTGTTAATATGAACAACTTTTCCGTTTCGGAATGAAAATGCCAATTTCTAGTAAATTCGTGGTTCATCGCAAAAATTTGGTATTTTACCTAGGGTCATAAAACTGGGGTGACCTTTAGGTATAAAGAGTAATTTATAACTTTTTGACATATTTAACATATTTTTGTCACTTCTGGTTTCACCAGAAATGCTCTTAAGTAAGTAAATTAAATTATTAAATATTTTACAGTAAAATGTAAATTCTTAATATTTTTGCCTGTGTTACTTTTAAAAGATTTAAATTAATTTTGTTTAAAATAATTAAAAGTAAGTAGATATTACATACCTAAAACTTTTAGGCTAAAAGTAATGAAACGAATGCACAAGAAACGCGATTTCCGAAAAATTTTGGTCTGTTAACAGATATGAGTGAGGCAGTCGCAAAACTCTTTTTCACTGAGACTCTCAGGAACTTCCTGACAGGAAGGGAAATAAGTATTAGGCCTAAGAGGTCCAGAAACTAATGCGCAGAAAAAACAATAAAAAAAAAATGAGTAAATTCAATTGATTTTTTATATATTTTTTGTATGTAGTTACTACGTTGTAGTTAGTGTTGTAAAAAAAAACGTTTTTTTTCAGTTGAAAAAAAACACGTGAAAAAAAAAACATGTTTTTTTTCACTGAAAAAAAACAAAAGTTGTTTTTTTTCATCCCCACCCACGTATGGTAAAAGGGCGCCTCGCTGTCGGCAATGCTGACTCAGCATATCGTATAGTATACGGTATTATAATAGAAGAGTTAAGACCTGCCGCTTTATAGTAGGTTGATGCATAGTTGGTAGAAATGCCGAAAAGAGAAGGCTCAGGGCGAAAGCCAACAACGTTAAACAATTTGTTTAAGAATATTACTAATGGTAAATAAGAAACTATAATTAGTATTTAATATTCTTCTAGCGACAGAATGTGCCAAAAATTCTTTCCTCAGCAGTGACATTTCGAAAATCCTGTCACTTAATATAATTTGAGTATTTTTGACCATTTAAAAAAAAAAAAAAACATTTTTTTTGAAAAAAAACAAGGTCCTCTGTTTTTTTCTAAAAAAAACATTTTTTTTTTAAAAAAAAACAAGACTGTTTTTTTTTCAGTGACAACACTAGTTGTAGTAAACATTTACCTACAATTTCAAAAAAATTGTAACGATCGAAACATTCTTGGCCAAGTTATCGCATTTTCAAGAAAAAATGTCACTCGTAAAAAGAGAAAAATCGATGTTTCTGTCCATTTTTCAAAAATTTCCTACAGGCGAACAAAACAAGTTTAAGCAAAAAGAAAAAATACGGGTCTCCTCGATTTCAGTACAGAAACTGTAAAAAAAAATTGATTTCGATTTTCGACTTAAGATGGAAAGGCCCATGTACAAAGTATAATTTGGTTTAAAATGATTTCTTTAGATCGCTGGGTTGGAAACAAACGTGAACTTTCTGCTGGATTTAGCAAAACATAAGGAATTTGAGGCTGGAAACGTTCATACCAATTTTATTGAGGATTATTACGATAGTTTATTTAGTGATGATACACCTAGTGATACACTTATTATTCAGGGTGCTTTGGCAACTATTTTGCAAGATAAAAGCAATAATGTTAGTGAGGCAGTTAGAAATAATGATGCATATAATCCTTTTGTCGTGGAATCTGCTTTCAGAGTAAACTATAATTTAGTTAAAGATGTAAAGCTCAAATTTAAAGATACTGGTAGGTTTTAATACGTTTTATTATACCTTTTTATGAAAGCTAAACTTAATAATTTTGTAGAAAATGTTATTAGAATGAAAGATCTTGGTCAAAATAGTTTTGAGATATCTTTGGATAAAGGCAATACTTGGGTGACAGCAAATGGGGAATTAACACTCATAAATGGAAATACAGTTTTGAAAAGTACTATAGATGGTGTTAAGTCTAAAGTAAACGTTTATAATGATGGAGAAGTGTTGGCTTTATTTCATGATGTAAGTATTTGCAAAATACTATAGTACATTAGTGTTTCATAACAAAATCGGAAACAGATGTTGTATCGGTAATTTTAAGAACATTTTAGGCAGTTTTTGGTGATTATCTGCAAATTCCTTGTTTGCAAAATTGATCTTTCATTTACAGAAAGGAAAAACTCAATTCACCCACTACCAACCGAAATTCCTTACTGCGGAAGAAGAGGAAGCAACCACTGGACTTCTAAACAGAGCAGTTGCACCGATGCCTGGCGTTTTGGATAAACTGCTGGTGAAACCCGGCGATTTGGTGAAGAAAGGCGATTCCCTTTTCGTATTGATCGCGATGAAAATGGAGCACGTCGTTAAAGCTAACCGAGATGCCGAAATTGACAACGTTTTCTTCAAAGTGGGAGATAGCGTGCCCAAAGATTCAACGATTGTGCAATTTAAAGAGACTGCCGAATAAATTTTTCATTGAAAAATTTTGAGTTTTATTTTATGACAATTTTATTTTTCTACTCCCATACTTTAATTCGTTTATCAGACATTTCCTACATGTACCATAATGAGATCCATTATAATAAAAATTTTATCACGATACACATTTTATGAAAACCTAGGTATTCATATTTTAGTTAGGTTTAATTTTAAGATAAATAGTGGAAATAAATTAAGCCTTAAAAAGATAAAGATAGCTATTAAACGTGTGTTTTTATTTATATGAATTTTTATTTAACTTGCTTATTTTGCAGTCAAATAATTTGTTCCATTGTTTTTGAGTGTTGTTAGGTGCAAAATGTTTGTGTTTTTTGAGAATTTTTTTAAATACAAACCACTTGAAAGGTAGGAATATTTTTATTACGATATAATATCGTCGATATTAGTTTATCATTTTTTAGTTAAATTATGATGTAAATACAAAATATATACTTATGTATAACCAAAAAGTTTTAAACAACATAAGTAATAGTTGCTTTTGATAAAAATAATTGTTTAAAACTTTTTAAATTATTTAATTATTTTAAAAATGCTTTTTTACGTAAATTATGAGAGATAAGGTTCGATTGTTTCCCTAATATACCTACAGGAAAATTAGATAAAACAGTACCTAATATATAAATTTGTCTTTTAACATGCTTATTAAAATCAAAAATAGTACTAAAAAACACTTGGACTGATTTTAAGGACGGACAGTCAATTTACGTATTTTTTATCAAACTTTATCGAACTGGTTTCACTGACAAAGATTTTAAGCTTGTTAATTTTTTTCAAAAAAAGTCCTTCAGGGTTAACGTGTACATTTACAATATAATAATTTCTGGTTGTAGATTTTTATAATTATGTAATTTTAACTAAATAAACAATGTTAACGTGACTTTGAGATAAATGAAACTTTATAGTCACGTACGGTTTTTACGTATTAGCATTAATTTATTTTTTAATTTAATTTAGAACACAAAAAATATAATATTGTAGGTATGTAATATTTTCAGAACTTAGCGTTAATCTGACAGATAGATAACCTCAAATGGCACGATCAAGGGATAGGTCACCTATCATAGGTGTGGATAATGGCACCAACATATTTTTAAATTGTGTTCAGAAACCACATCCCCCAATTCTATTATAATAATAGGTATTAGAATTGGGGGATGTGGTACTCATATATTATATTATTAAACTTAAATCCTAGGTATTTGGGAAATTTAAAATTTTGTTAAAACTAAAATAAGCATGATTTGGCGCATTTTTCATTTTTCTAAAAAATCATTAAATGATTAGTTTGTATAATTATAGAATATATTAGAATATATTTAATTTTAATAGTTGGTACTAACCATTAAAATTGAATACATTCTATTTATAAATAACTGAAATATTTGTACTTGGTATTGAATAATTTGGCTAATTTAATTAAAAATATTGACAAACACTTTTTCAAAAATAATGGTAGTTACCATTAAAATATACTTTATAATTATAGATATTTGTAAAAGGTTATCGTTAATACTTGTAGCTTATTTAAGTGCAATTTAATTGGGCGTACCAGTAAAACTTTTAAATAATAAAATTCTTTTTTTATTAGGTATTAAAATACTTTAAAAATATGGAATTAAAGAAGCACCTAAATCTAAAATAAATAAAAAACTAAAAAGAATTACCTAAATACAGTTTTTTGATAAATGTTATTCTCTAAAAATTATTGTAGGTAATGAGCCAAAGTATCATTTTAAGTTTACTTATAATTTGACTTATACATTATTTCTACAAAAAACGAAAAGTTTAATTTTTTTTATGTAAACAGTAACTTGTCAAAATTGATAAATATTACATCTGTCAGATGTACAAGGCAACTGTTGATATTAACAGTGTTGTAATGAATAATTTGTATCATAATGGATCTCATTATAGTACAGGTGGGAATTGTCTTATAAAAGAATAAAAGTATGGGAGTAGAAATTAGTACATTGTAGACTATAGTATTATTATGAAGTATTTCTATAGACTTATTATTTGAAAATTATTGAACGCTTAAGACATGAGTTCTAAATAGGTAGGTACTATTGCACCTATATTTTTTTTATTTTTGAAATTGTAAACATTTTAATTAAAAATATATGCGTATATCTATGGCACGACGTTTTAATATTTATTAAATAATTTTTTAATTTATAATTTTATTGGTTTAAAATTTTCCTAACTAAACATTTTAAGTTAACATTTATAAATTTAAAATATTTTCAACTATCATCATTTATTGAAAGACAAAATTTACCAACAGTCTGTATTAAACAATATTATCAGGGCCGAGCCAACCCAGGGTGCAAAGGGTGCACTGCGCCCGGGCGGCAACTATCGAGGGGCGGCATTTTAGAAAATATTTGTACAGAAAGTGACGGTAAACTTTTTAATATTGTAATTTATTCTGATCCAAGTGCATGGTCTACACCTTTATCTGACTGAACCTACTAAATAAGAAAACAACTTATCCCAAAGACGCTAGCACTAGAAGTTATTGAAATAAATATTTTTTAAAAACTTTACCAAATGGTGAATACGTTCAACGCACTTGGATATTCTAAAAAATATACTCTGTGTTTTGTTTCCCATGTAAGTTATTTGGGAATGCATCTAGTTCTTTGGGGCTAGATGGATTTCGAGATTGGCAACATTTATCGCGAACCTTAAGCCGACATGAAAGTTCTAATGATCATATTAAATGTTGCATTAAAATGATTCAATTACAAACTTCATTAAAGTGTGGCTCAACAATAGATTATTTACAGGAAAAACTAATTAACAGTGTCACTGTTACAGTGAACAGAAAAGATGGTGTTCTGTTTTAGAAAGAATTATATCGGTTGTTAAATTTTTACCTAACCAAAACCTAGCTTTTAAGGGTAGTTCTAGTAAATTATTTTGTAATGTTACACGTTACACGTCTAACTCGCAGCAGAGCAGCAACAGCAGCCCAGCAGATAAGACCTGAAGATGGTACATGAGATTGTACCGAAACGTCGTCAGACATACGGTTCTTTTAAGAACAAAAACCGACAACACGGAGCATATCCCGAAAAACCACTAATACATAATAATTTTATTAAGTTAAAATAGTGTTTTTAAGATTTTTTTTTCCTTTAAGGGGAGGCAAGCTTTTAATTGCCCCCGGCGGCAAAAACACTTGGTGCGGCCCTGAATATTATTTCCAAACAATTTTTGCAAAAATTTCAAATAATCATTTTTTAATAAAAATAATTTCTTAAGTATAATTTATTTGGGCAGAATTTTGTAAATCTTAAATAAATTGTGTATAACATTATTAAATTAAATTGGTAAAGTTAAGTTTTTTAGTATTTAGTATTTAAAAATAGTGAAACTCAAGACATTTAAAAGTTTCATCTTTAATTACATTTTGGAAAAAAAACTTATTCTATAAATGAGTTCCTAAATTAACCAGATTTTTGAAATAATTATTTTATTTTGCAGTATTTTTATTTATTTGTTCAAATTGATCTTTATTACCTATGCTTAATATCTAATTCAGTGTAAATCAAAATTTATCACTTGAAAATGGACTAGCAACCGTTTAAATATGATATAGAAGCAGTCCCCTACAAAATCCTATTGATTTAAAAAAAATCTTTTCAGCAATTATTAATTAAAATTTAATCGAAAAAACAATAAAAGGTTGGTTAAATGTTGAAGACCTTTGTTACTATAAAACAAATATAGATACATGTAGATTTTCCAAATGGAATAATCAATAATTATTATAGAAAAAAAATGTATTGTCCTTTTTGATTTTTATCGATAAACAATTGATATAAAAATATTTTGTATAATAACAATAATTGTATTTTAAGTATAGGCATAATAAAAATATTATTAATTAGAAAATATTAAAACTCAAGTTTTATAATTATAAGATTAGTAGATAAAGCAAGTAAACCTATAAAAAGGCAAGTGTCTAGAACAAGTCCAAACAGTTGAAAATAATATTTGGGGGATAAATTCCAAACATACAGTTTGGTACCATCCAATATACAATGCTTGATGATTTCGGAAGAAATAAAGTTAAATTTAGTGAGTGTTCTTTGGATTTAAATAGGATTTTTAATTAAATTTAATACAATGGATAGTGAAAATTTATCAGTGTATAGCGAGGATTATTCGACAACTGACTCTATTGCAAATTTAAATGTTCCAGAAAAGGATAAGTAAGTTATAGGAAATTGAGGTACAATCAATTTACTGCATCAACCACTAAAATAAAATAACAAATTTTTATTGACCGATCCCTGCATGTCTTTCTATTGTCGCATTGCAGGCCTATGAGTCAAGTTTTAGATTTTATGCTGTTTACACTGACTTCGTATAAACTATACCAAATTTCGTCTAGTAGAACAAGTAATAAAATTTAAATTTTGGACTTTCGGACTTTTACGTTATTATTGCAATAGCAATAGGTTTGCGATACTGTTTCTTTTATTGCGTTGAGTCAGATAACTCTTTGGGTGAAAAATTAATATGATTGATTGGCAGACATTTTTGGAATTTTACCTTATTCATAGTTTGTACAATAGATTTAGTTTATCATTATTGTATAATTTTTATGATAGCGTTTTAATATTAATAATTTTATCTTTTTGATCGTCTTCTGTTTTTTTCGGTATCTGATTTTCTTATGGGGACCCAAATATGATTTCTTATTCCTGAAACTGAAAATAATCGATCTTTACTTTGGAGACAAATGTCGATTAAAGACCAATTGTTGCATAATATTTCAGCCAATCTTATACAGGGTGTTTCACATTCGTGGTCGTGGATTTGAAAGCGTTCAAGTCTATTTTTTATATAAATATAAATATGCTGTAAAAGATTTTCTTCTCTAAAACTGTTTTTTTTTAATGAACTTATAAACATTTAATTTGTTAGTGAAGGTATTTTACTTTTTATTTTTACGATTTTAAATATTGTAATTATTTAATTATAATAATCTTAATTTTACTATTATTAGCAGAATCACGGAATGCAGTACCCGAATCGCGTTTAAAATGATTGAAAAGTTTTCTGAAATTTTCTGTAGTCATTAAAAAAATTGAAAAATTTTTCAAATTTTATTTTTTAATTAAAAAAATTTTGTAAGTAATTTTTTTGTTTGGATTTACACTCTCATATCGATAAAAATTTTGTCAAAGATTATGAGCGTTTAATAGCAAAAAGCTGATCCTTTCAAAAATGCAATCGAATAAAACAATAATCGGCTGGATGGATTAAATTAAAACTCTGTGGGTTTTTTAGGGTATATTGAACTGTAAAAGGCACACTTAGCATTAATGGTTTTCTCTATATTTTTGGTTCAGCGCTTGATTTTCCAAAAAGCTACCAAATTCCCTTTTTTCATGATTTTTCAAATTCATGTAGAGTATGGAATTTAGTTTTTTAACAATAGCAAATTTTTGTAGACGTCGTATTTAAGTTTTTGAAACCCACCTTAAAAAAAAAGCAAATTGAAGCTAAATGAACAAGTTATCCGGTCAATATGGTCAGACAATTTTTCTCCCACTCCGTGGACTAAAAAAAAGCCAAGACAATTTCAAAACTTTTTTTTATCACGGTATTTGTTAGAATTGAGCGTTGCGCGTTGCTTTGAAATTTTTTTCATCTAAAAATCTCAAAACTATAAACTTTAAGCTTCAAATTGCTTTTTTATAGCTCCAATACGACCATTTTTAACGAAGATACAGCTATCCAAAAAATGGCTAAAAATTTGGAATTTTTTTTTGATCCTTTAATTTTTTCCATTAGTTTATTTTTTAAAAATATTAAGAGAATGGCTTGTCTTACCGAATCATTTTAAAGGAAAAAGTGATAGGGGGCAATTTAATATTTAAAAATTTGAAAAAATTGTTTTTTCTTGAGATTAATTTGTCTTAAATTCGATTTAATAGTCATGGAATCGAATTTAAGACAAATTAATCTCAAGAAAAAACAATTTCCCAAAGTTAATAATTTTAGAGATATTTAACAATAACATCAATCGAAATGTTTTTAAATTTTCTATTTGATTATGTAAAAACATACAGGGTGTTTTATTTAAAATAAAAAACTTATTAACGTTTTAAGTTAGAATAATTTGCCCTGGGTTTTCTTGGGTAATTTGTTAAAAAATGTTAAAGAATTGACATGGAATCTTTTAAATAATGTTTTAAGATTCCAAAAATTCCACGCCATTTCGGCAAACCTAATAGCAAAAAAGTTATAGGCTATTTTTTATTGAGATGCATTTGTCAAATTTTAACGAAAAAAACTCGAAAACTATTCACTTTAGGTAGGTATAGGACATGGTACAGTAATTTTACTGAAAATTTTACGTAGAATTTAAAAATGTAAAAATATTTGGGGTGTTCTATTTAAAATAACAAAGATTATGTCACTTTCGATCAAATTTTAAAATAAATAAATAATTAATTCAGTGAATACATTTTTCTTAAAATTATACAGTCTAGCCGTTATCGAAGCTGTTATATTATGTGCCGAATACCGTGGATATCATTTTATTGAATCGCACTTAAAAAAAAATAAATGACGTGATCTGAAAAAACGCCGAGACACGGGTATCATTAAATGATACCCGTGTCTCGGCGTTTTTTCAGATCAAAAAAATTTTTTTTAGTCTATTTTCAAAATCTATTGGAATTTTTCATGGGAGGGAAAAAAATCAAATTTTGTCGTACTGTGTTATACTATTATACCAGCCTTACTCAAACTTTTTTTTTCTTGGGCCAAATATGTATGACTGCTACCTCAGGCGGACCGCAACGACCTATATTACAATAAAACTCAACATTTAAACGTTATAAAAAAGTGTTTTACATTATTTGGGCATTTTTTTTATCTAAAAATTACTGTGGCTTTGGGTCGCAAAGGAAGGGTTGGCGAGCCGCATGCGGCCCGCGGGCCGCAGTTTGAGTATGGCTGTCTTATACTACGAGGGTTGCCTTTTATATTTCGGGAATGGCCGAACCTGCTGATGTTATCGGACAACAGATGTCTGCATCGTTAAGTTCGACCTTTTAGACGGTGTTCTTACTTAACACGTTTTGACGTGCGGGCGCAATTAGTATTATTAACAGTCACTTGAAAAATTAATGTCGGCCAAAAAAATGGAATTGACCCGTGAACATTTTCGTGCTATAATTATTACAACTTTAACGTGGATTATCCCAACAATAATGCATCGATGAACTTAATTTGACTTTTGGCGACAAAGTGCCATAAAAAACAAGTGAATATCGGTGGTGTTCCGAATTTAATCGTGGCCGTGGTTCGCTCACCGACGAATTTCGTGAAGGTCGTTCAAAATCACTCGTTCTTGCAAAAAACATTGATGATGTGCGTAAACTGGTAATGCAAGATCATCATGTGACATATCGTGAGATTGGGTCATCCTTGGGCATTAGTGGGACCAGCATACATTCAATATTAAATGAACATTTGGCCTTCAGAAAAAATTGTTACCGTTGGATCCCACATAATTTGAGAATCGATCAAAAAAGGTCTCGGGTCTAGTGGTCAAAAGAAATGCTTAAAAAATACGATGGCGGTGCTTCAAAACATCTTCATGACATTGTAACAGGGGACGAATCATGGATCTATGCGTATGAACCTGAAAGTAAACAGCAGTCGACTGTGTGGGTCTTTAAAAGCGGTTCATGCGTTCAAAATGCATGTTTTGGAGGTGCCTCAATTGGAGTGAAAAAAATGCTTCGAAAATTGGTTCAAGTGCATGCAAAAGTGTGTCGATCTTCATGGAGAATATTTTAAAAAACAATAAAGCCATGTACGATGATTAATTGTTGTTTGTTTTCTCTATTCCCGAAATATAAAAGGCAACCCTCGTATTACCCTATTAATAGTATAATAGTAGTAGGTAATAAAAAATAAAATTTTATTTTGTCCGATTTAGTCCATTTTTGTCCAATTTTGACCACGTCATGGAAAGAATAAAAAAAGAGGATAAAATGACAACCCTGCAACTAACATGTAACGTCCTGAACATTTCGCTGTACCCTCGTAACTGCCGAATCGCGTGCTCGTCCCACGTCGATAACCCAAAATATTTTGGTGATCATCTCCGTGAAAGCAGAATTAGAAGCACGCTCGTGAATGGTCGATCGTCTTCCATTCAAGTGTCGAATTGACCTTGCCTAAGCCAAATCTATTGTCGACTGCCGCCGCGGCGGCCCAACTTAAACCTATATAAACCACATCACCGTTTCCATGCTCAAAATGAACAAAACTTACGCCGATTAACAAGTACTTAAGCTCGACAAGTGGTCCGGAGTGCGCGCTTGAAATATGCTGCTTGATGATTTTATAAGAGTTATAGTTAGTCACAGACAAAAAAGTACGTTAAGTGAGTGTTTTTCGGATTTAGTTGGGATTTTTTGTTGAATTTTATATGATGGAAAGTGAAAATGATGCGGCCAAAAGCGAGATAAATTCGGGCAAAAGTTGCGAAGTTTCACCGAAAGAAGCTGCGGTAGTTTTAAATAATTTAGGAAGCGACAATGACGAGTAAGTTTTAACAACAATGCCAATTAAATTTAATTATAAAATCGGTACCTTGTTAAAAGATCTTTTTATTTATTTTTATTATAACTGCAGTTTTATTTGTGTAAAATATTTGATACTAAGAAGGTATTTATAGGTATAATAAAAATAATTTCCAACTTTTTCAATGTAACAATAATGCTTATAGTATAGTTGCAGTAAAGGTAAAAAGTATTTAATGTATCAAGTTTTATAAAAGCCATTTTGGTTCAGAGTTTTATTAGGCACAAGCGAAGCTTGCAAGCGAGTGTTTAATAAAAACGAGTGTCTAGAAGAGTTTATAAAACGAGTTGCATACTATACTTTTTCTACTCTCACCTTTAAAACGCCCTTTATCGTACATGTTTCCATGACACTAAGTGACCTTTTACACATTGACAAGTTGTGGCTTTACGGCGCTTTAGTCACGGGCTGAAGTTAGCAACAGGTTTTTAGTCACGGGCTGAAGTTAGTTTTAAGTTAGTTGACAGTTGTCAAATGTCATACAATCGTTAAAATAAATTGCCTTTCTTGTAAAATAATTCTAAATGTGAAAATTATTTTATTATCTCAATACAAAAATACAAAAGTATTAAATACTTTCTCAACGCCAATATTTGATAAGTTTATATGAACATTGTACTGACCTTTTCATTTCGCCGGCAGTAAACTATAACTTAAATTGGGGCACGGACTCCACTGTAAAGTGCTCATAAAACATTTTCTTTACTTTCACTGTGAAAAACTGTCGATTTTCAATATACATTTCGATTTATAACCTTTATAATTGTGTTTTTTTAAATATTGGCGGTGAGAAACCATTTAATACTTTTGTATTGAGATAATAAAATAATTTTTACATTTAGTATTATTTTACAAGAAAGGCACTTTATTTTAACGATTGTATGACATTTGACAACTGTCAACTAACTTAAAACTTCAGCCCGTGATTAAAAACCTGTTGCTAACTTCAGCCCGTGATTAAAGCGCCATAAAGCCACAACTTGTCAATGTGTATTTAAAAGGTCACTTAGTGGAACATATAAATTTTGACACGCGCGTTCGTTTTGAGTAACATTATGTAAATTTCTTTTAAATTTAACAAAAAGTGTTAATGTTTAGCACTTTAAAACGATTTTATTTTGTTAAAAACATTGCCAATGATCCTCGGTTAATGTATTTAATTAACAAAATATACAGGTCCCGAAAATAGTGTGCAATACTCTACCAGCGGTTTTTAGGGTCAAAACATCGTAATAAAACTTTATATGAACTTACAGCCTCTGAAAATAGTTTTTTATTATTATTTTCGAAACGGTTTAAGATAATTTAACCTATTATAGCCTATTTTCGGGACACAAACATATAATTTTTTCTATTAATATTTCTAGTTAAATATGTATACCTATAGGTAGGTACATATATTAAATTTAAAAAGAGAATACATAAATTTTTTATTGTATATTTATCTTCGACAATGGTGCATTTTTTTAATGTTCAACAGTGTTAACTTTTTTATTCTGCGGAAAACTTGCAAACAAATTTGTACGCAAAAAAAGTTTGGGCTAAAAATACACTACTAGAAAAAAAAATGTTTTTATTTAAATTTAGCATAAAAGTTAGGTAAGCATACAAAATTTCAATATTTCATGTCAAACCGTTTCGGAAATAATAATAACTGTAGCTCTAGCTTAATGATTGCCTTTATAGATTGCCTTCCTTCCTTCCTTCCTCCCGTAAGAGATGAACAATACCAAAACAGTAGTGCCGTTTATAGATTCCTGTATGGGAATCTATAAACAGCACAGCGGTTTTTGTATTGTTTATCTTTTACGGGGGGAAGGAAGGAAGGCAATCTATAAATCAGGCTTTAGGGGTCATTTGCGACCTATGTTTATAAGAAGTTTTCTTCATATTTTTGTCTTTAGAAACCGCGTGTAGAGTATGGCAAAACATGAAAATACCACTTCCGATTAATTTTTAAATTACGTGTACATTTAGAAACAATAATTCACGTGTTTTTCAGTTTTTACTCGCAACGCCAAACACAAGTAAGGTGTGCAATTGCTGCTTCGCGAATAAAATTTGTCGGGTAAGACTTCTGCCTTCCTCTTTTTAGGAAAAAACTACTTATTTATTTTTAAATGATGTGCAGTTCGTATGCTTTAAATATATTGTTGACAAACCTTGCATTTCAATAATGCGAGAACCAGATGCTTTTTTAGCGTATATTTGTGTTTAAAAAATTGCAAACTTATGTTGTTAAAGAAAGTTGTTTATTAGTTATTTTGAATATTTAAGTTAAAACAAACATTGTAGGTATAATATAATATTTTAACATTAAATAATTCCATATTCTTGCTTTTGTGTGCATATTTGGTAAAAAAGAATTTTTTTCCCGGAGACAACCTAATGTCAATTAAATGTAAAAGTATGGATACTATGTAAATATTAGTTTACGAACTATTTAATACATTTGTCTTTAACTATCTGTATTTGCGGAATTTTTGGATTTTATGTACACACAACATGATTATACTTGAACCCTGACTTGAAATTAATTAACATTTCGATTTTCAATTTTAATCACTAAAATACATTTATTTGAAGCCCAGTGTCCATATTTTTAGCTTTTGTTTAAATATTAGATATTTACATATCAAATGCACTAAAATATCGTATATGATTTAAATCAGTGTTTTTCAATCTTTTTGACTTCGCGACCCCTTTACAGGTTGAAATATTCTGGCGACCCTCTTGTGACGTAGAAAGCCAAAGAAAAAATTTAATTATTTTAAGAAATGTCTTCTAGATTTAGCTGCTGATGGCATGCTTAAAATAGAATTTTATTCGCAAAGTGTCGACGTATTTTGGATAAAAAGAAAACACGAATATCCAGAGCTGGCAAAAGAAGCTCTTAAATTATTAGTGTCATTCGCCACTTCATACTTGTGTGAATTGACATTTTCTTCAATGGTAGACATTAAAACTAAAAAGAGAAATAGACTGCAATTAGAAAATAATTTGATTAATTTGATAAACTTCTGAAAAATAAACAAGCACATCCTTCTCACTAAAATTGCGTTTTTATTGTGTAAGAACCTCGACTCTTTCTTTTAGCCGGCGACCCCCCGAGTAAGGCGTCACGACCCCCCTAGGGGTCGCGACCCACAGATTGAAAAACACTGATTTAAATAAACAATTTGAACAAAAATTTAAATGTGGCCTCTAAATAAAAAATAGGAACGCATATTTTAGGCAAATACTATGGGCTTTTTAAATGTTAAAATAAAATAAATAAGCCCCCCCTCCTTCCGGCGCCCATGAATACTACGCTAAAAAACTGTGAAGAGGTGTGAAAAATTAATAAAATGTGGTCATCGAATTTTTCTCATCTTAATACAAATAAATAAAAAAATTAAATTAACATACTTAGTAAGTACCTATAAGATTTAAAACTCAAATAGATATGCTGAAACAGTAATTAAAACAATGTTTGATTAGTGCTTTATTTATAATTATTTAAATTTTACTTAATTATAAAAATTTAAAATAATAATAATAAAAAATAAATATATGATCGGCCATTTCAAGCGTGGGAAACGCCTATAAAAAAAATTGTAGATAATTTATTATATATTATTTTGGCATCAAAATTGTCAAAAATATTCTTCTTTTATTAGGCTATACATTTTAAATAAAAAAAAATGCAAGAAATATTTTATAAAAGTAGAGATAATTTTAATAATTGAAGGGTAGGACGGGACAAAAAAAAGATTTATCTTATGAATTTTGTTACATAATTGTTTTCAAAAAACAAAAGGAAAAATTGGAAAATGTTCAGAAAAATTGACTTTTGTATTTTTTCATTAAATTTTAAAAATTTTAGTTTAAGGTTACTACAGTAGGTATATTTACGTTTACCTATGTTTATTTTCTTAAATGAATTCAATTCAATTTATTGTTTAGTTTTATTTGTTTTTTATTTCTGTAATAAATTTATTATGATTAATGACATTTTTTTTTAATTAAAATAATGTTAAGTTGTTAATTGCTTTGTATATTTTTGAAAAAAATCAATTTTTCCCAAAAAAGCCTTAATTGCAAAATTTTCCCTTTTTTTTCGACACTTTAAAACCCTATAGGTTCAACTAACATAATGACATTTTACCTTAATTTTTCTACTAAGGCTTATAATAATTTGACTTTTGATTATTAAACTACAAATTTGTAGTAGGAGTTTAAAAATTAATAATAACAATTTTATGTTTCCATAACAACAGTTTTTATATTTGCGATCGTTTTGCGCGATATTGCGCTGCGGTCTGAACGTGCCTTAAGAACTGCTGAGTTTATCATTATACTTAAAATAACTTATTTTATTGCGTGGTATGGCGTTAGTGCGCTGTTTTCGGGACACCCTGTATATTTTAAGTTTTTGCCTTTGACTATAATAGTCTGTGGAAACAAAAGAAAGTAGGGATCTGCAGCTTTTTTCTGACAGTTTAGGTAAAAAAATAAATCATTATACCCAACTTTAGCTTTATTTTTAGAAGGTCTTTAGAGAATTGTTTGTTATTTTTTAATTTATCGTATTTTCATTTTTGGTGTAATCAGCTGATGCATTCGGTTTTAAGCATGAAAAGCTTTTAAGTAGATAAGTAGGTAATTAAATGATTTTTAAAAATAAATAAATAAAATCTGACATCAGATCTCAAACAGATTCTGTCAAATGGTTAACCTCACTTTAAGCCAATTTTAAATGTTATTATAGACGCCTTCTCCCAATTTAAAACACGATTGATTCAAATCACAGTGAATATTGAAATCGGCCACTCACTGATGCCTAACAACGTACATAATGTACATAATGAGTTAAGTATTCCCGGTTAGGCAGGTAATTTATAATGTTTATTATTATTTAGGAAAAAAAACCAAAATTATGAAAAAAGAATTAGGAGTAAGTAATAAACATGGTCAAATTTTGCAATAATTTGCACTTTAAATGAAGATTATTTTTATACTTATTATATAAATATAAATGTCAATGTTTTAATTAATTTAAATTAAACTATTTATATTTATAAATCTATAAGCGCGTACATATTGCATCTAGGCCTTGAACTTATTAATTAGAATTTTATGGATCTCTATTAATAAAAAACAAATAAGGTATTATATATTTGGATTTAGGTATCCGTTTTTATTTAAATTTTTTATTATCTTACTAAATAGTAATATTACAATACTGAACTGCAAATATTTGAATTTATTTGTTAAATTGTTTGACAAAAGACTAATTTGCCTTACAACATTACTATACAATAGAGCAACGACCTTGAACACAAGTTATGTTTGTGTAAACTATAAGAAATAATAAAACATCTCAAACATAAACTATATATACAGGGTGTTTATCTTAATAAAAGTTGACACAATACTTATAATTGCATGGGGTGTTTCAATACATTTTCGAGTTTACTTTTTATAGAAAATGATCTCTATAAAAAGCAATAAACCAATCGGAACACGGCATTCTCCATCGCACCTAGTGTACTGTGGTCTGATTTGTTTAAAGCATGCTATGTAAATTTTACTCGCAAACTTTATGAAATCTCACCCAGTAATTATTTTAGAATATAAATTGCCTACTAAAATGTATTAAAAATAGAAAAACTCTTACATAAGAAAAATTCCTGAACACCCTGTATAACACCTGATCAAATGTCAATGCACAAAAATCTGTTTTATTATAATAGGTCACGGACCTAACTAAATTCCATATACCTATAGGTATACCTATGTAATCAAATACCGCCGGGGCATTCGCCAAAACTGCAACTGATTTTTAAAACATGTTTTCCAGAAAACACAAAAAATTTACGATCAAGCAAAAAATCGCGTTGGTCATGTTGGCGGGGGCGGACTTCATGTGTTTCTGTTCGATGTCGATCATGGCCCCCTTTTATCCACAAGAAGCGGCCAATAAGGGGATGACCGAGTCCATGGCTGGGTTTGTTTTTGGATACTATGCGCTCGTTGTTTTTTTAACGTCGCCGATTTTTGGAAAGATTGTGAGTATTATTTTTAATATAATTATTTTTGTTTGGTAACACTATGATAGTTCTAATTACTAACATTGAGTACGCCCACATATATTACCTAATTTTGGGCTGCTGATTTCAAAAATGCCATTCGTTTTGCTGCAGGACGTCTAGGATTCGAAATAATTGCGTAATAAAATGCTCTGCCCAATTATCTCAAAATGTAAATTTTTCGTTAATATTTTGATTAGGTATTTATTAAATTATTTTACCTTAAATCTATTTTGGTTGTTCAGTATATTTTTGACATTTTTTTCTTCAAAAATATACAGGGACTCCATATAAGTAATCGGTAGATAAATGTCAAATAGAAATTTGTTTTGTTCCATTGTAGTCGTATACTATATACTAGTAAGTAGTATTATATAAGGGATAATTAATAAAGCACTTTTCTGCAGGGAAGTGCTTTATTAAATACCAAAACTAAAATTATAATGTTTTTCTAGTAAAAAGTATAATTTTTGACATTTTTGTGTCGTTTTTTTAAGTACTATTTTAATTGAAAAGGCAACAAAGTAAATGGGTTTCGGTATAAACATTACTCTTCGACTATTATTTGATATTTTTTTATTCACATCATGCCTAAAGTATCCAAATTAAATCTCCAATCTTATTTATTAAGTCTTATCAAAATTTAATATCGAATTAAAATATAAAGGCGCCTTTATTTACTTTATCGTTCAAGCACATTAAAGTGCATCTATTAATTTTTGACATTTAAAATTTAAACTTTCAATTGTATTTTTACTTGAAAGAGATTTTAAGAACCAAAAATGAAAAAAGAGCATAAAATGGAATTGGTAATGGAAGTGGCAGAAAAAGAGAAAGGGGACAAACCTTTATGTCGTCGTTGTAAATTTCTTTATTTTTGTTGCGGTACCTTTACAACCAAGAAAAACCAACGCAATATTTCATTACAAAATTTTAAGAGATATACCTACCACTTTAATTTTGCAGGAATATTAAATGGACGTCGTATACGTTTAATAAAAGATTAAGCATTAAAAAATGCTCTCAAAGTTGACGAGCTTGTCGCATATGGCAGTGTCATTGAAAATATTCTTGGTTCATATCGGGCCTAAAATTGGCGCCAATTCATTGAAAAAATGATATCCGTTTTGTGAAGAATTAGCGTTAAAACGTCATTTAAAATACATTTTTTTTATCCTGAGAAATTTGCCGAACTGATGAACATGGAGAACGATTTCACCAAGTAACTTTTTACTTTTTAATAAATGTAAGGTAGAAAAAAGCAAAATTATGCAATGCATTAAATTTTGTGGCCTAATTTGGATAAAAAATACCGAAACTTGTTTACTTTGTTGCCCTTTCAATTCAATAATTAAAATAAACGACAAAAAATGTCAAATAATGGTTGTTTTTTTTACAAAAAATACATTAAAATTTTAGTTTTAGTATTTAAAATGTCATATTGTTAAGATAAATATGATCTTTTTGCCGTATACCAATTACTTCAATACATTTAAGCCAAAATAATTTAATAAATAATTAAATTACTAACAAAAAACTTACATTTTGAGAGCATTTTATTACTAAATTATTTTAAATCCTAGACATCCTAGAGAAAAACCAATGACATTTTTGAAATCAGCGGCCCAAAATTAGTTAAACTAAGCTGGAGTACTCAATGTTAGGAAAAAAAAGTTTCTAAAACTATCATAGTGTAATTAGTAGATAATAGTTGGTTTAAACTTGTGGGTACTAATTAAAACTGCATTAAAAGTTAGGTACATTGTTATCGTCCTTAAAAATAAATAATGAATGTCCCTAAATGCATTTCACCAAAATAACATAAATCATGTATGATAATATTTTGGTGATTTTTTAAATTTTTAATATACTTATTTTGTTTGTTACAGCTTCCGAAAATAGGGGTCAAATTTTTATTTATAGGTGGACTTATAACTTCAGGGATTTGCAGTATTACATTTGGGTAAATATGCTTTAATAACTTTTTTCTGCCCCCACCTTTAAAACGCCCATTATCGTACATGTTTCCATGACACTAAGTGACCTTTTAAATACACACAAACTTATGTTGTGGCTTTATGGCGTTTTACTCACGGGCTGAATTAGCAACAGGTTTTTAGTCACGGGCTGAAGTTAGTTTTAAGTTACCCAGTTGACAGTTGTCAAATGTCATACAATCGTTAAAATAAAGTGCCTTTCTTGTAAAATAATACTAAATGTGAAAATTATTTTATTATCTCCAATATTTGAAAAGTTTATATGAACATTGTACTGACCTTTTAATTTCGCCGGCAGTTAACTATAACTTAAATTCGGGCAGGGACTCCAGTGTAAAGTGCTCAAAACAATTTCTTTACTTTCACTGTGAAAAACTGGTCTATTTTCAAGGAATACATTTTAATTTATAACCTTTATAATCTGTGTTTATAAAATATAAAAATTTGACATTTGACGGTGACACACAGATTCCCCTATTGTTTCATAGATGGCGCTCTATACAAATATTTGATTTAAATAATTTTAAGATAATAAGTATTTGTCGTAGAAAAAGTATAGTAGGCGCCTCGTTTATAAACTTTTCTATACACTCATTAATTTCAGCACTCGCTCACAAGCTCGCTCGTGCCTAAATTAAATTCGTGTATAAAATGGCGTTTATCAAACTTAATACATAAAATACTATTTTCCACTCCCACCTTTAAAACGCCCATTATAGTACATGTTTCCATGACGCTTTAGTCAAGTTGGTTTTAAGTTATTTGACAGTTGTCAAATGTCATAAAATCCTTAAAATACAGTGCATTTCTTTTAAAATAATACTAAATGGGAAAATTATTTAATTATCTCAATACAAAAATACAAAAGTATTACTCTCTAAAAGTGAAACAGTGAAATTTTCACTATTTCCGTCAGTGAGTTATTAATCACTGTAAAATTAGTGTTTTTCAATATAAATTAGTGAAATTTTAACTTCTCCAAATTAGTGTTTTATATTATCACTACTTTTCCGGAACTCTCGACATAAAATAGTGAAATTTTAACTTTTTTAAACTTAGTTATCATAACTACTAAACCTATTTCACTAATTTGTACAGTGTAATTTCCACTAAATAAATTAGTGCAAAGAAATCGCTACATGAAAAAGTGAGTATTCACTAATTGTTAGTGGTATACTTATCACTGCGGCAAATAGTTAATATGCACTGTCAATCAGTGAAAATCCACTGTTTCATTTTTAGAGAGTATTAAATAGTTTCTTTACGCCAATATTTGAAAGATTATATAAACGTTTGTTTATCAGTTATAACTGAATATTCTCTTCACTTTTACTGTGAAAACTGCTTCTATATCGAATGTTAGTATATTTTCAAGGAATAAATTTTGATTTACACAGAAAAATTTGAGATTTTAACGCCGGTTGATTCCCAAGTTAAAAATTCTAACAGGAATTCCAATAAATGCAACTGTCACTTTTTGTACCTTGATTAAAGTAATAAAAAAATCAAAGGATAACATATTTTCTTAACATAATCAAATTTTGTTATTTTAATATTTTGAAGTATCAATAACACAGCCACACAAAAAAAAATTTGTGTTCTGATCTGGGGGCCTGACCATATTTTCTATATATTTTTGGGGTCGCTGAATCCGAATCCGAGGTCTATTTAACCCCATCACATCAGGATTTTGCCATAACCTTAAAAAACCTATCATATAAGCTATTACTATATATAACCCTGAGAATGTGGTTTTAATATAAAAATCCAAGCTCTTAAATATCACAACTTTATAACTCACATAACTCCATACCCCATAACCCATTTAACCTCATAACTCAATGTACATCAACCACGTTGTCAGATATTTAACTTAATATGTACGTTATTTTAATAACCGCATAACTTTAGTCTCTTCAAAGCTAAATGTCTGACATACGTAACTGTTGGAATTGATGTTGATGGGGTTAAATGGGTTACAAGGTTATGGGTTTAAGTGGTTTATGGGATGGGGTTAAAATGGTTATTGGGTTTAATAGCTTGGGTTTTCAGATCACAATTTCATCCTAAGGATTATATGTTTAAATAGATCATGGGGTTAAGTGGGTCATGGGGTTATGGGGTTAAGTGAGTTTTAGGCTTATAGTGTTTAGGAGCTTGGGTTTTTAGACAACAACTTAATATTTAGGGTTATATGCGTTTAATAGCTTAAATTATAGATTTTTTGAGGTTATGTCAAAATCCTGATGTGATGGGATTAAATAGACCTTGGATTCGGATTAAGCGACCCCAAAAACATAAAAGAAATATGGTCAGACCCCCAGATCAAAACACAAAAAAAAAATTGTGTTTTGATCTGGGGGCCTGACCATATTTTCTATATATTTTTGGGGTCGCTGAATCCGAATCCGAGGTCTATTTAACCCCATCACATCAGGATTTTGCCATAACCTTAAAAAACCCATCATATAAGCTATTACTATATATAACCCTGAGAATGTGGTTTTCATATAAAAATCCAATCTCTTAAATATCACAACTTCATAACTCACATAACTCCATAACCCCATAACCCATTTAACCTCATAACTCAATGTACATCAACCAAGTTTGTCAGATATTTAACTTAATATGTACGTTATTTTAATAACCGCATAACTTTAGTCTCTTCAAAGCTAAATGTCTGAGATACGGAACTGTTGGAATTGATGTTGATGGGGTTAAATGGGTTACAAGGTTATGGGTTTAAGTGGTTTATGGGATGGGGTTAAAATGGTTATTGGGTTTAATAGCTTGGGTTTTCAGATCACAATTTCATCCTAAGGATTATATGTTTAAATAGATGATGGGGTTAAGTGGGTCATGGGGTTATGGAGTTAAGTGAGTTTTAGGCTTGTAGGGTTTAGGAGCTTGGGTTTTTAGACAACAACTTAATGTTTAGGGTTATATGCGTTTAATAGCTTAAATTATAGATTTTTTGAGGTTATGTCAAAATCCTGATGTGATGGGGTTAAATAGACCTTGGATTCGGATTCAGCAACCCCAAAAACATAAAAGAAATATGGTCAGACCCCCAGATCAAAACAAAAAAAAAAATTTGTGTGGCTGTGTAATTATTAAGTTTAATTAAAATAGATGGTATCATTTTTTAAATACTTAATATTAAGTATTTGTCGTAGAAAAAGTATAGTAGGCAACTCGTTTATAAACTTTTCTAGGCACTCATTTAATTAAACACTCGCTCGCAAGCTCACTCGTGCCTAAATTAAATTCGTGACTAAAATGGCGTTTATCAAACTTTATACACAATATACTATTATCTACTCATATTGCATAATATTGTTTTTTCGTGAAAAATGATAAACAGTATAAATTCCCTGCCTAACAATGGGGAATAATGAACTCATTATTCACGTTGATAGGCAATAGTGATTGGCCTATTTCAATAGTCACTGTGATTTAAACCAATCGGGTTTTAAATTGAGAAAAGGCGACTATAATAACATTTAAAATTGGTTAAAAGTGAGGTTAACCATTTGACAGATGTCAAATTTTATTTAATTATTTTTGAAAATCATTTCATTATCTACTTATTGGAGTTGATAAAGCACAGTATTACACTCAAGATTATGCGCATTATCTCTCGTATAATAATATAGGTACTACTATTTTTTTTTACTCCTATTGCATTTTATTGACATTATTTCAGTTTTTTTCTATTTAGTGTAATCATTATAACCGCCCCACTCTCTAAAAATGAAACAGTGGATTTTCACTTATTGACAGTGCATATAAACTATTTGCCGCAGTGATAAGTATACCACTAGCAATTAGTGAATACTCACTTTTTCATGTAGCGATTTCTTTGCACTAATTTATTTAGTGGAAATTACAATGTATAAATTAGTGAAATAATTTTAGTTCAAAAAAGTTAAAATTTCACTATTTTATGTCGAGAGTTCCGGAAAAGTAGTGATAATAAAAAACACTAATTTGGAGAAGTTAAAATTTTACTAATTTATATTGAAAAACACTAATTTTACAGTGAATAATAACTCACTGACGGAAATAGTGATAATTTCACTGTTTCACTTTTAGAGAGCATAGTATTATCTTTAAGCGTTCTTTATTATTTTCAACAAGCACTACTAAAGTGATTGATTATCGCCTAGGCTGTAAAAATATACGAATCGAAAATAAATAACAAAAAAAGTAGAATTTTTAACATTTAACAATTTTATTTTGGAAATTTGTAATTGTAGTATTTTAAAGCTAACACTTTTTAAAATGTATGGATTAAAAAAGGCTTTGTACTACCAAAAAGTCACATTTAAAAAAATACAAAATGGGTCGTGTGACATAACATTTAAAAGGTCTTTTGAAGCTTGTTATATGCAACTACTTATGTTTCTGATTGAATTAATTATCATCAATGATATTTTCAAATCAAAACCGAGTTCACAGGAAAATATTTGAAACTGTTGATTTTTTTCAATTTTTAAATTCCATTTTAATAGACTTGAAATTACGCAACTTTTAGCTCCTCAAATAAAAAAGACTCATAGTATACTTGGTGCATCCTGTATATCTATACTTTTTATTATTTGCCGTGTTATTAAAAATATCTATCGTGTATCATGTAAATAAATTAATAGATTATTCTAGAATTTTATCACGAGATTTTATTGAAAAAAATATTCTTACAATGGTTATTATTGATCTATTATTTATGTAATTTGCATATACATATGCATTATTTTTGTTTATGGAAAAGTTTAATTAATATAACAAAGATAAAATAAAATGTTCCTAACCACGTGTTATTGTGTGAAATCTTTTTAAATTAAAGTATATAATGATTAAATCAGTGTTATTAAAACAAAATTTGCATATTAAAAAAATAAATTACAAGATGCTTATAAAACCACAGACTTTTTATAAATAATTATGAATCAAAATTAAGGTACCTTTTAAATAATTTGATATAATTTCTCAATGATAAAGATAAAAAGTACCATTTTTATTAAAAACGTTGATGCACTAAGAAGCAAAGAAGATGTGACCATAACCTACATTAATTTTTTCAAATCATTTTTCCGGCCCAAAAAACAAAAATTTTATATAAACTCCTTTGTTTTTTCCAAAGTTATGTAATAAAATCGAAAACGAACTTTGACAGGGTGTGTTGGTTATTATCAACTTTTGTATAAAAGTAAATTTAGTTAAATCGCATTAATTTGGTACTATTTTGCACAGTATTTAGGGACTCCTTACAAACATAAATACCTTACAAACTTCATTCTTCGCTAAATCAAATACTAAATAAATATATATATATATATATATATATACGAGGTGTGTTCAGAAAATAACGGGAATTGTTAAATTTCGCGGGTTCGGAGGGTCCGGTTGTCATAAAATTTTCTTTATTATGTTAGTATACATGCCCCCGAAGTATGATAAACATTTTAGCTGTTTTCATTGTTTACTTTGTCTGTGGCAGCCGCTTAGGTTTGACGTGTTTTATGAGCTCGGCGATTTTTCGTTCGTTAAAAGAAATGGATCAAAGAATTTGTATCCAATTTTGCTTAAAAAATTAAATAAATTCTGTGAAATGTTAACAAAGGCCTAAAGTAAGTCTGCCATAAGTAAAACAAGAGTTTACAAGTGGTATAAGAGTTTCCAAGATGGCCGTGAAGACCTTGAAGATGACGAACGCCCCGAACGCACAAGCACATTAATAACCGATAAAAACATGGAAAAAGTGGAAGAAATGGTTATAAACCATCAGAGAAGTTGCTGATGATGTTGGTATATCGATTGGCTCATCCCATGAAAATTTTTCGAATGTTTTGGGTATGAAACGCGTGGCAGCAAAATTTGTTCTAAAATTGTTAAATTTTGAACAAAATTTTTGGTCAAAAACAATACTGTAATGATGCCCCAGCCTCCATATTAGCCAGACATGCCTCTGTCTGACTTTTTCCTATTCCCAAAAATAAAGAGAACCTTAAAGGGCCGTCGTTTTGCAAGCATAGATGACATTAAAAGCGCATCGCTGAAAGAACTAAAGGCTATCCCAAAGATCGAGTTTTAGAAGTGTTTCGAGTATTGGAAGAAGAGCTGGCACATATGCATAATATCCAATGGGGACTATTTTGAAGGCGACAACATTAATGTAGACGAATAAATAAATATTTGTTTCAAAAAACTAAAATACCCGATATTTTCTGAACACACCTCGTATATATTTCCATTTGACAGAAAATTGGTCCCGGCGCATTCGCCATTTTTAAAACAGCTTATTAAATAAAAACGTTTTTTTATAGTTATAACTATAGTTATATATAATTATAATTAATAATTAAGTTAATTAAGGTGAAAACCAATATATTTCATCTTTAAGCATTCTATTATTAAAGCTTTCTTATTGTCAACGATTACTACCAAACTATTCGAATATTTTTTACTTTTAAGTGTCAAAACAACAGTTTTGTGTCTACGTAAAAGTCTTGCATTCGTTGCTATGTACGCGAAATTTTTTCTCTTCACATTTTCAGTTATTTATAAAGTGTGGGATAGTTTTTGAAAAAATTGTTTTATGCTAGATTGCGAAATGCCACGTTTGCATTTTGGAGGCTTAATATTAAATAAATTATTATTATTCTTAATTATTCATAATTATTATTAATAGATATCATTTAATAATTTCTTACAATTAAAAAATTCCTTTCAATTTTCTATTTTACATAATCAGTACCTACCTATATTAATTTTATTTTTAATTTGTTTGTAGTACTCTACACTCTATAGACGACTACAACACTTTTGTAACATGTTCCTTTATAATCCGGGGACTTGAAGCTCTTGGTGCTAGTGCCTATTCAACAGCGGGCTATGTCATTATAATAAATATTTTTCCAGACCATGCTGGAGCCGTACGAGTAAGTTAAAAAACATTTTTATCTTTAAATTAAATTCCTAATTTTTTTTATATTTAGGGTCTTTTAGAAACATTTGTGGGTCTGGGTATGAGCGCCGGCCCAGCCATTGGAGGACTCCTTTTTGCGGTAAGACTTTAATATAATTAAAAGTTGTAATTAAAAATATGGCACATTTAAAATAATTGCGCATTAAACACTATCACTATTTATATTGTATTCTTTTTTACTAGGAAGATTGGGGGGTTCAGCTTACCATTTTACGTAGTTGGCTTGATTATAGTACTATTGGCACCACTAAACATGTGGCTGTTACCAGAATCAGACAGTAAGTACTCCTATTTAATAGTATATTTTAATACGGGACCAAAATACTTTATTACCACACGAAGATTTTGGTTTTTTTCTGGTAAAATTAAATTTTGAACAGGATAAGTATAATAAAGTCTCAACAAAAGTTTCCTAAAAGTAGCTTTAAGTTAGTTTAGTCATACAATCGTTAAAATAAAACCCTTCTTGTAAAATAATACTAAATGTAAAAATTATTTTTTTATCTCAATGCAAAAATACAAAAGTATATAATAAATAATTCTTCAGGTAAAATTAATTAGTCGCAAACAATTTAGAAGATTCTCATGCAAATGAAACAGTAAAAAAACGATAAACACAAGGGCACATAAGAAGCCATTAATCACTCAAGTTACGATAAACATTAGGCAAAAGAAACCATCCTAAAGAAACTTTTTATTTATGTTTACATATATAGATTACGAAGACGTAAGGGGTCATAAATTAAGTAAAAACCGTTAAGTAAGCGTACGCACAGTGGGAAAAAATAAATAATTCGAGGGTCGACAATTCCGCGTCTTCCGGAATTCCGTTCATAAATAAAGTAAAGCGTTCTAAGAATCACTGGGATCATGCACAGGGGGAAAAAAATAATTCGAGGGTCGACAAATCCAGTAGGTTAAACGTATTTCCACATAGTCAGAGGGCAATATTACGGCGGGGTGCGGCCGGCAACACTTCGGTTCGGAAGATACGACTCAATAACGCACAGGGGGGCAAACAATTCTAAAGCGGCTATCAAGAAGTACACCATCAAGGAAAGGCGCTAGCAGCATACTAATCCACCCACCCCCATTCAGGAATACCAAATGAATGGGGTTATTACTAAAGCCCTGGTTTAGGAGGATTCCGGATTGTACTTAGTTTTGGGTCAGTTCAATGTCCTCCAAAAGCCCTTCCTAAACTGGACGTATGGCCCGACCCTGCTGACAAAAATCCCGGGAGCTGCCTTAACCTTTGACACTGTCATCCACGAACTCCTAGGGTGGATCTACCAGCCGGCGTAAAAACTTCGGATCCAACAAACACAGGTAATGCTGTGATTTGGCGGGATACGCAGGAGAACGGAAAGGGGGTAATATAACCCCGGGAGATCAGTGGATGACAATATATCTGGGGCTTGCCATACGTTCCCATACTCATACTCATACTCAATGCAAAAATACAAAAGTATTAAATAGTTTCCCAACGACAGTATTCGAAAAGTTTATATGAACATGATACTGACTTTTTACTTTCGCCGACAGTAAACTAGATTTACCTTAATTTTGGGTGGAGCCCATAAAACATTTTCTTTACTTTTACTGTAAAAAAGTGCTTCTATATCAAATTTAAACATTTTTAGAAAATGTGAAATTGTATCATTATAAATTTGTTTTGGACCACTACTTAAAAAAACTTAATAATCCATTAAAAAGGTAAAACCTAATTTTGCAAAAATGCTTCAATTAGGTAGTTATTTTTTATTTTAAAGATAAGTTGTGTAACTTATTAAATGTCCAATTAAAATTATATCAATAGTTTTTGCATTGCCTGTTTGTTTTAAAGATAAATGCAATTTTATAAAAAAAAATATACTATACATTGCAAACATAAAATATAACTCCTTTTATTTTTACAACCGGTAGGTTAAAAGTTGGAAATTTTAGGATGTTCATCAAATAGTACATTTTGACACAAAAAATTACTAAAATTTCAAAATGGCTTACTGTCAAAGGTTGCAATTTTTCCAATGGGTAGTGGGGTCATGTGAGACACCATTAAAAAGGCCTTTGGAAACTATAATTAATTAACCAACTTATTTTTGAGATTTCTTCTTTAAAACGTGTTAATTTTGTAATGATCCATTTAAAACTTTCAAAATTTAGTAAAAATTAAAAAAATTGGTCATTTGGTAAATGTACCAATTTTTTTAAATTTCAATCAGAAAAATAAGTAGTTGCATATAACAAGCTTCAAAATTTCTTTCAAATGATGTCACATGACCCATTTTCTATTTTTTTAAATGTGACCTTTTGGTAGTAGCCTTTTGTTAATCCATACATTTTAAAAAGTGTTACCTAAAGTTTGGTTGAAAATCCAAATTTCCAACTTATGTCAAAAAGTTTAAGATACTAAAATTTCCGTTTTCTAACAACCGGTTCTATAGAATAAAAGGGAAGGGGAGTTTTTAAGTTGTTTATAGTAAGAAAAACACAAAAAAATTGGTATCAATTTTGTTTTTATACTAGTTATAGCTCGTAGAGGTCGTACGCCGTAAAATGATACTAAACGGTATATCGTAGGAAAAAGCATGAATTTTTTTAATTTTTTGTGTACTACCACCTACTTTTTAAATTTGTCTTCCTAGGGTTCCGACTAAATGACATTTTGGTTAAAAAAAAATGTCTAAAACTGAAAAATAAGAGATGTCACCTGAATCAAGTCAAGCTTAAGTATAATTTAGTTTGGTTCCATGTTGGCTAATTCCTAATTTATAAATTGAGTTTTAGAACTCATTTCATGCTTTTTTGCGGTTGCCTTAATAATCCCACACAGTCCAATTAAGCCTTTGTTTACATAGCATAGGCATAAAGATAAATTCGGAAGTAAGGCCTACACGTTAATTATTCCATAACTTAAGTCAATTCCCTAATGGGTCAAATTTCTTGGCCATAAATAATTTCATGGCCACACTAAATTATATTAAAATAAAATGTTTATTTTTTAGAATGTTCGTTAGATGTAAAAACTGGCTCATTACTAAACCTACTAAAGCTGCCATCTGTGATATTTACATGTATTATGATGATGATTATATCCATGACTTGGGGATTCTTAGATCCTACATTGGAGCCCCATCTTAGAAAAGTAAGTAAAACTGATAAAAATACAAAATTTAAACCCACGATATTGCATGACAATTTTAATTAAATGTATATAAATTGTTTGTAAAATTGTGGATTTTACGTATTTTATAATTGTCCTTATTATAAAATATGTGAAATCCAAAATAATTATACAATGAATTTTTCCAACTTGGTTTGTCATCAATATTTGATATAGTAATGTAATAATTAAATGTAGGTATTAGGTAATTATATTTGAATATTGTTTTTTTTGTTTACCTGTATCCTGTAATATGTAAAATTATGTTTAAAGACTATAATATTTTGGTACAGAAGCATCAAGCATTTCGTTGTTGTTGTTGTTGTTAACTTTTTTCCAATTATGGAATTTAAGCGTCTTTTGTGAACACAAAAACTCGTCTTATGAAGCAGAAACACTTCGCTCCCATTGGTGGCTTTAAAAATTAAATAACTCCTGCAATTTTGCGAATTTAAAACGATGGTAAAGTTAAAATTTTAAAAGGAATTTACGTATAACCCTTGGGTCGCAAATTTGGTACATAATGTATAATATATACAATACTGCTTAACTGGTTAAATAAACGTTAAATTTACGTTATGCCTTGTTAAATTATGGTAAAATTACCGATATGTTAGTTAAATTTAAACTTCTTGGCTAATGTACCTTTTGGTTAAATAAAAGGAATATTTGATAGTTTTTGGTTTATTTTACCCATTTTAACTACTTCATAACTCCTAAGTCAACTTAAACTATAATTAACCCGTTTAAGTTTATTTTAACTATATAATTATAATGTACCAAATATGGCACCACCAAAAAATAACCAAAAGTTTTAAGTAAATTTTTGTCAAAACCAATTGTCCGATTTGAACTTTTTTTAAATAATAGGTTGTCCCTTTCACAATGTTGGTATACTAACTGTATTCCGATAGACATTTTTTTTACAAATACCGGGTGTAGCAATTATAGCGTGTGTTTTTAATATAATTTGTAACACCCTGTAGAGTTTAACAGCTACAATATCAAATTGGAATTGCAATAAAACTTTAGCCTTATCTTTTTTTTACATTTTGTTTTTTTATTTAGGTACTCCATTATCTTTCATTTTACACAAGTAACAACATTTTATAGGATAGCATGATTTTATTGGTTTTAATGACTTACAGATCCTTAAAAACCTTAAATCCTTAAAATATTTTACCAATATAAATTAATATTTACAACTTTGCTAACTCTTTTATAGTAATTTGACGAAAGTTCACATTTTTTAAAATTATTTCTTTTATACTTTATTATCACATAAAACTCACAACGTATAGGTTTATATATAAAGCTGTTTTAAGACTAATTTTTCTAAGCAGATAACAATGAAAACTGCAAAATTATTACTTTTTAAACCAGTTTATTAATTAACGTTAATTTACCTATAGGTAAATTTAGGTTATTTCAAGTTTAAATTGACTATAAATAAACCAAATATTTAACTAGTTAGTAATATTATCAATAGGTTTTTTTGATTAGTTAAATTGTACTAAAAAATAACCTTTGAATTTACCTTAAGGTTATAGAAACCGGTTGGTAAATGTAAAGGGATATATTTTAGTTCACAGCAACCTTTATCAAATGTTACTGGTAGAATACAACTAATTGGTTAAAAAACAAGTTTAAAAAACCGTTATTTTACTTAGATTTTGGTTAATTTAGTTGTGCTACTGTGGAAATGGAGCAGTAATTTTTAATACAATGACAATTAATTTTTAACCAAGAATTCAACTTACGTTTTTATTTTAATTTGTATTATTTTTCAGTTTAGCTTAAGTCCTGGAAAAATCGGACTTATATTTTTACTCCTATCAGCTGCATATGGTATAAGCAGCCCAGGTTGGGGCTGGTTGACTGACAGAGTGGAAAACTATCAGTGGTTAATGCCCATTGGGCTTTTCGGAAACTCCATTGTATTATTACTACTGGGACCATCTCCCTTACTAAGCTTTTTGGAAGAGTAAGTCAACTTTTAACATAAGTACCAAATTGATTTTTAAAATTTTTTTTGTAGTTCTATATTGCTTAACGTAATTTGTTTACCTTTACTTGGAATTTTTGTGGCTATGTCTTTGATGCCCACCTATCAATTTGTGTTGGATAGCGCCATGTAAGTATTTTATCTATGGTCCTAATGTGTTTTAGAGCATTGTGTAAAAAACACAAATAACACAAAAATTTTGTATATAACTAATTTGTAATGTTAAAATTGTCTTTTTCAGTAAGGGTGGGTTCACAGAAAATATAGGAACCCACAGTGTGATAGCGGGTCTATGGTCTTCGATTTATTCCCTGGGCGAAGTCGTGGGTCCAATCCTTGGAGGAGCGATTTTAGAAAACTGGAACTTTCCAGTCACGTCATCCACATTTTCGCTTCTAAATTTTGTGACGGCCATAATAGGATCGATATATTTCCTGAGATTACTAAAAGAAGACAAAAAACTTAAAAACAAGGTTTTGGTTGCGAGTCCAGAGATAAAAGTATGTTACATCAATGATGTGTGTGAAGTGAATATAGGTTTAGAGAAAACCACAAAAAACGGTCACATAAGAATAGAAAATATAAAAACAAAATAAATGTGATACATTGTTATTTATTAATAAGACAAAAACAATAATAATTGGCGGACAAAATAATTATTCCTAAAATGTCCAGTTTAATTTTTTTAAAAACTATTTATTAAGTATTAATTATTACCTACCTTAGTTAGATTTTAATAATCGAAATTGTGCCATCTAGGTATTGAGAAAATGATATATAAAAACTTGTTTTAAATAAATAAAGAATTCAAATTACTGGTTTTATTTACATATCCAAATACACACAGAAAAAACGCTAGCATAACATGAATGGGTGAGCCATTAAACCAATGGGATCTTGTAATCCGTATTCCTGAATAACAGTTTCTATAATACCAAAAGGTAGTTAGCACTTGGTTTATAATCGTTTACTGTTTTTAAATTAACAACAAAAGTTATCGCTCCTAAATCTATTGATATTCATATTGATATTTATTTGTTACCCTGTTATAATGTTATTGCATTAAATACTAATTTAATTTATTTAATAACTTTACTATTGTATACTATGTATACTATGTATACAATTAACGCAATAAATTCTTTGACATTTAGGTAAAATATTTCCCTATTTTGGTAATTAATTGAGCAAATAACAATTTAGATTGCTTCAATTTTAATGCATTCAATGACAGCGCTGTTCTTGGTACTATGTTAGATTTTTTTATGTGCACGATAAAAGTTTGAAAATTAAAGTTTAGCACTTTAATGATTTTTAACAGAAATTTACAAAGTTAATTTTTTTTAAACTCAAAACAATTAATAGTCAAAACATTTTTTAAATATAAAATACAACTGTAAAGCTTTACTTAAGCTTAAAAATATTGATTTTTAAAAATTTGAGTTCAAATATTTTATGCTACAAAATGTTTGGTTTAAATTTGTAAATGACAGTAACAAATTTTTTAATCAAAAAATTACTACTTAAAAATTATTTTTTTTTAAAAATTGTAGAAATAATATTGTTTAATACAGAAGTGAACTGTTAGTTAGTAAATTTTGTCTTTCAATGCATGATAGTTGAAAATATTTTAAAGTTATAAATGCAAACCTGAAATTTTTAGTTGGAATAAAATTTTAAATTAATAAATTATTTATTATTTTTAAAAAGCCGCGGCACAGTAGTGTCTTGACGCTTGAAGTGTAAGCATATGGTCAAAGAGATCTCTCCTAAGCAGCGTATACGATACAAACGTAGTAACGTGATAACTGGTTAACGCCGTAAAATAATAAAAAATCAATCGATTCTAAACGTGATAACTGTCCCAAGTGCAAAAGAGTGCAAATCGTGTGTGGTACCTCCCCCTGGATTAAATCCTCAAGTTTTGGACCTGGTTAAAAGGTGTGAGTGAGACGATCAGTTCCAATGAAATTTACGGGGCTACCACACGTGCAGGGCATGCGAAATGGATCAATCCCAGCACCTAATAATCAAGCTAAGTTATTTTTCCAATTGCATGTCTTACCGTATATTCGCTAAATGTTTATAAAAGCATTTCACAATGTTTATATAAGCATTTCACAATGTTGCAAAAAGAAAATACTAAGAATTCTTTTTATTGTCTCAAAAACTAAATTTAAAAAAAAGAATAAGAACATTTCCGTAAGTTTAAATAAACTCATTTTCTCATAGCAGACAAAGCATAAACAACCATCGAAAAAGGCGAAAGATAAATAAATAAATAAACCAAACAAGCAAGAAGACAAAAATATAACATAAACAAGGGTTGTGTTTGAAAAGCAGTGTTGCCAGATGTAAAGGTTGAAATTATCGAATTGGGTAAATAAAATTACCGGAAAATTAAGTTACAATAATTGTGATGATTATGTTACAATAATTATTATAATTTAATCATAAAAAAAGTGAAAGAAGCAGGGTTGAAAATATTAGCGAATTTTTAGAAAATAAAAAATTTGTTAAAAATATTAAACTAAACAAGGCACATTGCCTAATCCCTACAAAAAAACAATAATCATCGGCAACAAATAAAATAAAAAGTCAATTTTCCAAGAAAAAACCAAACAGCCGATCGCGGACACACACCAAAGTTGATCAGGGCAATAAAGCTGTCAACAAAACAATTCAAGAATAACAAACCGAGACCAAATAAACTTGACACTTAAGACATAACACATAATCTAAGAAAACATAAAAAAAGCACTCTAATCAATATCCATGGAATCTGTAAACACTTATTTCTTTGCGAGGGCGTTTATCATGTGTGCCGATTATCGTACCAGCGGCACACCTGCGCGCTAACTAAAGCAAACAGACAAAAATACGCAAACTTGAACGAAAGATCATTACACTACTAACGACAGACTTACCCGACTACCATCTACAACATCCCCGCGACCTGCTAATGGGAAAAACCATTACCAAAAGGGTAAGAGTAGCCCAATTAAAATACTGGGCCCACGTCACTCGTAGACAACGCAACAACATACTACAAGCCACCCTTAAACTAGATCTTAAAGACAAAAAAAGTCGGTAGACCATGCTTCACATTTCATGACACGTTAGCACAAAATATGCACTTTTCACAAATTAACAAGACCAGTTGGGAGCAACTAAGCAACAATAAAAATAAAATAAAAAAACAACCGACACACTTTACCAAGTTCAGGAACTATCCGACACGGACAATGACAATAATGAACAAGACGAAGACCTCGACTAGGAAACTACACCCCTGAAGCGTAATAACAACTCCCCAACTCTAAATAGTAATCCCAAATGTTTGGAGTAATACTAACCGACTGGTCTAGGGGGATTCCGCGTCGTACTTAGTTTTAAGTCGGCGAAATTGTCCCCCAAAAACCAACTCCCTCCCGTCCCTCATCCATACCCCACTGAGCGTATAGCATAGGCTCGGCGAACCCGGGAACGGCTATTATAACTATTCGCCTCTCGCTCTCGAGCCCCAAATAGGGGACAGTACGGAACGCAATGGACATTCGCACCCAGCAAACACGGGTGAAGCCGTGCAGTTGCTGGGCGTAAGTAAACATAGGCCTGTACGGGGTTCGAGAGTCAAGAGGAAATGGGGCTGGTTATACGTCTCTTATACTCATACTCATACTCATTATTTTTAAAAAGCCGCGGCGCACCATAGTTTATCGGCGGAAACATACATTTTTAAAAACTTTTCATTATGGGTATTTTTATGACGATAATTGGTTAAAAACATCTTAAAGCAATAGATTTTGGTAAAGAATTATTTTTAAATTAAATTTAAAAAAATTATGTTTTGATTTTATGACACCTCAAAGTAGAAGGTTTTTAAAACAGTAAAATTGGCTAAAAATTACGCACACATTTAATAAACTATAACTATAACTATAACTATAACTATAACTATAACTATAACTATAACTATAACTATAACTATAACTATAACTATAACTATAACTATAACTATAACTATAACTATAACTATAACTATAACTATAACTATAACTATAACTATAACTATAACTATAACTATAACTATAACTATAACTATAACTATAACTATAACTATAACTATAACTATAACTATAACTATAACTATAACTATAATATCTTTTAATCGAACAAATAAATGTATTTATGTTTTAAATAAGTTTAAATTACACCTTAATCTACATATATAAAAATTCCTATTTATAAAAATTAAAAATTATTATCTTTTAAAAACACATTGGTAAAATTAAGAGAAACAAATTCATATAGATATTTCACTTCGATTGCCTCCGATTTCCACGTTGATATCTACATGAGGTTGTTCAGTAAACTTTACTTTATAAGTAAACAAAAAATTAGCTGCACATACGCACATATAAAAAAGTTATGAATTTTTATTTATCGCGCTGCATGGCTAAATCGCGAGCGCTCGTACCTAACTAAGGCATTGTCTACGCACTCAAGATTTTCGTACCCACAGATCTATGCTTATAAGTTTTAGTTGAATTTATTAATTATTATAAATATTTAAACATGCATTATTTTTTTAAATATTATTAAAAAATATATACAAAGTATACTTATCATATGATCATATAGGATTAATAATTAATAACCTATCCATAACAAATTATTAGGTATTAATTAATAGATAATCCTTTGCTTTGTAGGTATCTTAAAGGAAAAATATTTTATAAATTAATAAAATAATCCCTTGTTTTGCATATTTAAAGTAATAACTATTATTCACCTATTTATAACTCTCTAAAAATGAATTAGTCAAAAATGACTAATTTAATAGTTATAGTGGCTGCTTTTTCACTTGTACCATGGTTAATCATGAAATAACATGTTATCCCAAAATTTAACAGCCAATTCTTATGTAAAATTGTCCCCTGAATCCAAAAATTATGAAAGTTGAACAGTTTTTGAGATATAGTCAATTCCATATTAAATGGAAAATTGACTATATAACTGTTCTACTTTTTTAACTTTTGACGACATTTTCGGATTCAGGGGACAATTTTACATAAGAATTGGCTGATAAATTTTGGGATACCATGGTATTCCATGGTTAACCATGGTACAAGTGAAAAAACAGCCACTAACTACTAAATTAATCATTTTTGACTAATTCATTTTTAGAGAGAAGGTAATATTACCACTTATGTAGCGAAATCAAATTTAGACTATTGCATTTTGTGATTTTTCAAAATGAGTACTTTCTGTGTTTCAGTTTTTAACACAACTATTCTTTAATAGTGTAACGTTTTTAACTGTTCGTAGTGTGAATTAAAACACGCTCTGGTTAATTAACGAACTAAACTATTTATTTAATAACTTAACTACACTTAAAATACTATAAAACTAACTAAACACTTAACTACTAATTATTTATATATCACTATTGTTCAAGAGTCTATTTATTTGCACTTATATTTATTTATTTCGCCGCGAGTACCAAATCTTAACTGACTACTCTGTGCGGCTCCGTTTCTTATATATTCAGCGCCTAGGTCTTCTGGAACATTCCAGCGAGCTCCACACTCTCGATTATTCGAGCGCTGACTCACCAGCGGTGACTCACCGGCGATGACTCATCAGCGATGAGTCATCACTCCGATATCCAGAGCGGTACTCGCTACATTGTCCCCGTCCCGAAAATGGTCCTCAGCTCCATGGCGATATTTACATAGAGATCCAAACTTGCAATGTGACGTCATATAGAAGTAGCAGTCCACGGTCTTTCTTCCGGTTGTTCTTTTAGGATTGTGGCAACAGACAAGAATGTGTATGCCACTAAATCTGAAGATAACTTCCACCATACTTCTAATTATTCTCCAGTCCAAACCGTCAAGTCCACAAGCAATCTTTGG